CCGACTGGTACCTCCCCTGTGAACTTTCATATACAAAATTGCTTTCACATTTCCATAATGTACTCACTACGATACTACATAGATTCTTGGATCGACGTATCCTCGCAACCGTCCTCTTCCTCCTTCTCCTCTGCTGCCACGAATGAAGATATAATCACCACCGGCTTGCAGGTCGAAGTTGGAGAAGCGGGGGCGTATCAGCGCCGCAATAGGCGACGTCGCTTACAGCACCTTGCTGCTATCACTACAGCGCAGGTGGACTATGCGTCGCGGGATGCCAGTCAAGCCAGTAGCAGCCAAGAGGAATATGACGAGAGTGAAAGCGAGTCTGATCGCGTTCTCAGCAGCTCAAATGAAGATATAACCCGCCCAGCGCTCCCGTCTGCATTGTCTGCGCGCTCTGCACAGCTCTCTTCAGGTTCAGATGCTGCCTCTAGCGATGATGAAGATGATACTTCTACTGCCTTAGGGATGGGAATCAGCCCATCACCTTTCGTACCCCAACCAAACATATTCACACATCCACCAGCAACATCAGAACCTGGATGGCCTGCACGGCGTACTCAACCTAGTGTCTCGTCTACTCACCGCGCAGCCCCTCGAAGAGATTCTTATCCTAGTCCACGATCATCGCGCAGAACTCAATATCAACACAGCCCTTACAATATGATCTCCCCTTCTCATCATACCGACCACGATGCCGCCCTTCGTGCTAGCCTATCAACACTTCTTTCATGTGCGGCTGCCGCTAGAGGCCTTCCGAAGAATGACAATAGACCATCACCTACCCCAGCTGCTCCCTCTGGAGGCGCACACCCCGCTTCATTCCGACTAGTAGGCGCATCAGTTGCTATGGGAGAGGAGAGCAGCGATGAAGAGACTACATCATCGCCGCAGTATCCAGAAACAAGTCCGTCGATAGCACCGCAGAGGAACCTAAGAGCACCGTCAGTGTCATCTGACCCATCTGTCGCCAAAGCAAAGCGCCGTTCAAGTTCCCCTAAAGATCGCGGTGCTGCTTCGAAGAAGAGTCGTCGCCTGAGCATGACGGATCCCACAACGACTGTCAGCCCCACGATCATGACATGGGTCATCAGCGCTGGGGTCGTCGTTCTCTTCTCCGCAATCAGCTTCTCTGCCGGGTATATGATCGGCCGTGAGGTCGGGCGGGTTGAAGTCGGAATGATGGGAGATGGTGTTCCTGGCCCTCGGCCATCAACAGGATGTGGTCAGGAAGCGGTCCGCGGGGGACTTCGAAAACTGCGCTGGGGATCTGCGGCCGCAGGATCTGCTAGCCTTGCATCAATGTAATGTTCTATGAATGGCGAAGATGATGTGAACGAATTATGATGTCAACAAAGGAGGATGGACCGCTCGAGCTGCGTTCGTGTCTTTTCTGAACGTTGACCCGCATGTCGGAGTCCTCGCATTTCTCTGTTTGATTGATATTCTACTCTCATCTCATTGGCTGATAGTCATTGAGATTCGGTTGTTATGTGCCGGGGGTCTCGCGGCCTTCTGACAATCAAAAATCGGCGCATCTTTAGGTTTTACGCAGGTGATTTCTGGTTTGAAGCGATGGAGTCTTGGTTCTAGTTCCTCTTGGGGCTTCTATGTTGCTTTCTTTGCGATTTTCAATCTATACCCTCTTTTTATCGCCCTATCTTATATATTGAATGAATGATTCCCTTACAAAATTGGGCTCAGTTGATATCCACATCTGCTGGTAGTATCTCAAGCTGTATCAAAAGTCAGCGGCAACTCCCTCAGCAGTGCTACCTGCCCACACCCACGGGTGGTAGCCTTGAACGTTATGTAACCGTACCAGACAGCCCTGCACCTGGGTTTTGCTCAATTTAGCTAACAGAGATCCATGGCGCGTCTAGAATTGACTTTGCACCAGTCTTGGAAGCTCCCGCGGTATCCACCGCGCTAGTGAGCTAAAATTGATGATCTTTGGGGCATTTTATTGTTCGTATACATGACAGAACGTGCATTCTGTAGATCTCAAATAACTTTGGAAGGGACAGGCTCTGCATGGATTCATATAATTCCCTCTTCGTGATCAGTCTCTGTTGGGTCAAATCGTATGAATATCAACTCCCTGCAACCATTCATGAATGCCACATCGATTCTACCTTTACGGCAGAAAGATAGAACAGAGAGTGACCGAAGAATAAAGTTGGCCAAAACGCTGCAAGAAGTGTGCCGAAATACTCGCGCGGCAACCGAAGCAAAGCGGACTGGTCAGAGATTTGGTGATATGTTGACAGATGATAATTCCAAAGCAATGAAGGGCATAGTTGGCGTACCACAAGCCCATGTCGAACAGTCATTCGGAAAGTTAACGACCACGAAGGGCAGCAGGGCATTTCAGGGGCAAATGAGCGCGGATTCCTTTGCCGTCATGTTTGGAACCCCAATTTGAAGCCTTCGTTGGGCAAATACGCTATCTTTTATCTTTGAATCATGCCCGCAATACAAGTTCTACTCTTAAGCGCCTTTCCCTATGTTCTCTGATGCAATCAGTTCACAATATCTCGGCAGCCAGGCTGCCAGGGAAAGAGATTGAAATACTTAGGTCAAACATAGCCATATAAATCAGTCTCGTAGATCCAATTAAGTAAGATGGCTTGGATTTTATCGGTAGAAAGCTTCTCTCCAACTTCAGCTAATGAATGAAGCAAATTAAAGTGCGGATTCGCGTTCTCTATTTTAGATATAGTAGAGTGGGTCTATACCAAAGGTGGCTAATAGGAGCCCTTCATTGTCCCAATAGATTGCGCTATACTCAATCTGGTGCACGTGGACGACACTAGCCAAAATAGGTTAGACTGCTTCAATCCCGACAATGTTTTTTTTGGAGTGCAATAATCATGATGCTCAGGTATCTTTAATGATAGATGCAATATTATATCGGGGTTTCATACCTATGAACTCTCGTAGCTTTTATCGGGATTTTGATAATCCGGTGGGGAAATGACAAAGTACCTGCGCCTTCCCGCCCCGCCGGGTCTCTGCAGATGCCGGTTGGACATGCCTTTTAGCGCACGAATCCTTGGCCACTGATAACAAATCAATACGATAATGTGAGATTTGGGGGGCTTGGTTTGGGTCATTATTGTGTTCCTACACAATTGCCCTCGCACCTCTTTATCTTTCACCTCCATCCTTCTCTGACACCTACCTTTCGGTTACTATTCAACATGTTCTTCCAAAGTGCCCATGAGGAGAAAGACACAGAGGTCTTGCTTCATTTCATCCGGCAAAACCCACTCGGGGTTTTGATCACCGGCATGAACTCCTCCCAGCAAGACTTCCTACAATGCACCCACGCCCCATTTGTTGTGGATTTCCCAGAGGAATCTGGCAAGACGGATCCCTACCTCCGCGCCCACATCGCCAAGCAGAACCCGCAAGTCAAGACAATGATGGAGGCCGTGGATGACAAGCCGCCGAACGTTCTCGAACTAGACGACGATGTCCTAGTGCTCTTCAATGGCAAGCACGACCATTACGTGACCCCGAAATTCTACGTTGAAACAAAGCCAGATACAGGGAAGGTTGTGCCCACATGGAATTACTCCGCCGTCCAAGCCTATGGCAAGATGTCGCTATACTATGATGCCAAAACGCCCGAGACCGGCGCGTTCCTCGCGAAGCAACTGCATGATCTTTCACAGCATACGGAGAAGTCAATTATGGGGTACACTGGTGGCGAGAAACCGGAGCCGTGGCTGGTGTCCGATGCACCTACGTCGTATACTGATCTCCTGAAGAAAAACATTGTTGGGGTTCAGATTCGGATCACCAAGCTTCAGGGCAAGTTCAAGATGAGTCAAGAAATGCGGCCCGGGGACCGCGAGGGTGTGATCCAGGGATTTGCGAAGCTAGGTGGTGATACCGGTACTGCAATTTCGAATCTGGTGAAAGAGCGAGGTGAATTGCGTGATGCAAAGAAGTGAGACTCTTGATGCTAGAATGAAGATTCAACATGACATTACTCAAATTTACTTCCGTGGAACTCGAAATTACCAGTAAGGTCGTGACAGTGCGATAGTAGATACACAGAGGGATAACCCCAGAAATGAGTATAATCAAGGCTCCTCTAGACTCTAGTTAGGGTATGGTATAAGGTGTATACTACCTGATCAACCTATTGGGAACCAATTGCCTAGTTCTGCCCTTTTGTCCACATGTGACACGAGAGAAAACCTTTGTCGTTTTTATTGGTTGTTGACTTGATATATGTTCTGTATTAATCTTCTCTCGTTTGCAATAATAGTCAATGTTTGATAAACCCCCTATAGGTGATACATACATTTGAAGTCCTGTGACGTGTCTTTTCAGCCACAAGCAATTTTGAGAGTTCTCATCTTTTGTTTTGTTACAAATTAGACATGGTAAGGAAGTCAGGACGATGCGTACATAGCACATTGGTCAAAGGTATTTGTTTTCTGATCGTGGGAGTCATGATCGTGGGAGTCACTTATCTCCACAATTCGAGGAACCCGAGTCCTCGTGATGCAATAACCGGCATTATTCCGTATAGCTTGAGACTTAGGGCTCATGCAACTTATTTATGCAAACTGCTATTGGCTGTAGGACCCGATCGGCGTTCGAAGTATGCGTGCCCAGCTCCAAACAACGCGCTGTAGCGTGGACTACAGTATATCTACCCGAGTATACATATTGGGTCTGAGAATGTTTCGCCAAATAACCCATCATGGCGTTTGAACCCCGGCGTGTATTACAATTTGTAGTACTATGGTGGCGGGTTGGCGGGTTGGCGGGTTCGATGTCTGTTCTTGGAAGATCAACCCGCCTCATAATGGGTTGCCCTACCAAATTAGAATTTAGCCGTCCATATGATCGGAGTATAGACGTGGCTAGCAGTCCGGTATCAAATTATTATAGGACATATAAAGGGGCTATTATGATGACTAGTAAGGCAACAAAGGCCATAAGACATCTTCCATTGAACTTCTTATTACTTCGCCATGGCTTCAATGTTGAACTATTTCGGCTTCCACGCCCCTACCCCCAAGGAAGAAGCCAAGGCTTCTCCCGTTCGTGCCTTGCCTGCATCATGGTACACCTCACCAGAGATGTACGAGTTGGAGCGCCGAGCCATATTTTCGAAGAGATGGCTCTTCATCACCCACAGCATGCGGGTGAAGAATACCGGCGACTGGCTCCGTTACGAGATTGCAGGTTTTGACTTTATCATCACCCGTGATCGACAGGGCAACATCAACGCATTCCACAACGTGTGCAGACACCGTGCGTACCCTGTAGTTGAGAAAGAGAATTCCGGAAATTCCCAAATCCTGGCTTGTCGATACCACGGCTGGTCTTACGGGCTGAATGGCAAACTTGCTAAAGCTACGAAATACCAGGAGTTGAGTAACTTTGATAAGGAGCAGAATGGTCTTTTCAAAATCCACCTCAAGGTCGACGTTAATGGCTTCATTTGGGTCAATTTGGATGCGAAGGAAGTCCCAGAAGTATCATGGGAGGACCATTTCCGGGACGTCGACAAGCAAGAACGATACAAAGCCTACAACTTTGACGACTACGATCTTGACCACTCTTATGCGCTCGAAGGCGACTATAACTGGAAGATTCTGGCTGATAACTTCAATGAATGCTACCACTGTCCTACAACACATGCTGATATTCCTGAATTCCTCAATCTTGAATCTTTCGACAGCGATCTCAAAGACGGACACATCCAGCATCATTGCGAGTCAACGCCAGAGCAAATCGAGAAGGGCCTTTACACTGCCAGCACCTACTACTTCCCTATGTCTGCCATGGTTGTCTCGTAAGTATTTCTCAACCTATACTTTCACAAATAGAGCACCCGCTTACATATATAGGCCACATTTTATCATGATCCAGAAATTCCTCCCCTCAAGCCCCAAGAGCTCAAAGATGGCCTACGAAGTCTACCGAAACCGCAACTCCTCCGAGACTGACTTCAAGCTTATCAGCGATATGTATGCGCGCGTCATGGGAGAGGACAAAGTCCTCTGCAACAACGCACAAAAGAACCTTGACCGAAATGTCTTTACGAGTGGTGAGCTTCACCCTAAGTACGAGAAGGCGCCACTGTTCTTCCAGAGCACAGTCCGAGATGTCATCACGGAGCATTTTGAGCGTGAGAGAGCCGAAGGGCGGGAGATCTGGCCGGCGAAACCGAAGGTGTCATGCAACACAGAAGTCAGTGAGAAAGATGAGCAGATCTGCGCTTCTCTCGCGTGTGGATCCCAGAAAGAGCTTTTAGCTTGGTGATTGTCTTGAGAGGCAGTGCTTCTGTTGCATCGGTTTCTTTGTGATTAGTTTATAATCTTTGGAATTTAGCCTTATCATTTGAGCTTCCTAAAGTGACGTGGTAGACTCGAGGATGAAGAGGCAACCGTAGCAGAAATAGACATATCCATGCAGTAGATCTCCAGGTGTAAGAGGTGATAGTATTTGAGCTACGACATGTACACCTCCAAGGTTATTAAGGAGGGCAGTCAGAAATTTATATTGAGGCCGGATATATCAGGCACCAAATCCTGGAAACCTTACAGGAGAGTTGGCCAATGAGGATGCGGCTAATCGCCAACTCTCAGAAAATCGCCAACCTCCCAGAATATCAAAGCAAACAACATGCATACATGTTCAGATCCTGTCTGGAGCCCAGTAAAGAGGAGCAGAAGAAAGAAAGGGGGCGAAACTCGGCTATATCATAAATTGTTGAGACATTGGGATTTTCCAACAGGCTAACCCCCCTTCTGCCTAAGGATGCCTAAGGATGCCTAGAAAACAGCGCTAACAAAATCATATTGGGTCTAGTATGTCGGAAATTGAACTTTTATAAGGTTTGACACTGCCATTTCTGATAGAGAATTAAATTTCTTACAACCAAGAACATGGCATCATTCAATTTCCCCCGAGAGCTACTTGTGATCATCACATCTCTCTCGGATACGGAAACCCTCAAGGCCCTGAGACTGACAAACCACATATTATCCGCATTCGCAACCAAGAATCTATTTTCCACGCTCTCACTATACACCGATGATAAAAGCTGCGAGGCTTTTGAGTCAATCGTAGCCCATCCGCAGTTAAAAGAACATGTGCGCAAGATCCGCTTCAATACTGTCGAGGCCGACACTGTAAGTGAGATATCAAACTGAGATGGAACAATATAGTACATTCAAGGGTTGGCTAATACGTACATCAGGACTCCGGCGGAGATCACGACACACTTGAGCTACCTCTCAAATGGAAGGAGATCCTACCTATGCTTCCGAAATTTCCGAATCTTGAAAGCGTCGTGCTGCGCTTCGACCAAAACTGCTCGTTCGAAGATGATTATTTCGATGCCCCCCAGTCAGTTGAACACCGGGAAACCATCATAAAATGGCTGGGTACAGCGCTGGTGTCTTTAAAGCAACCCTTGAAAGAACTAGGGATCCAGAATCAGCAGAACATAACACCATTGAGCAAAGATTTCCAGCAAGTACTGAGCAAGCTGAGTTCGCTAAGACTGAATGTTATGCATGAGCTCGAATCTGCGTGTCCTGAAAATGAAATCGAGGTTCGTACTTGCTCCTGTTCAAGCTTACGTATAATTGTTCGTGCTAATTTGGGGAAACATCTGACAGAAAGACGAAGTGTACGAATTCTACACACGTATACTGCCGTCAGCCTGGCTGAAACCCACGATGGGATCACTTCGGAAGTTATCTCTATACTCCAACTTTTACTGGGGATTCTACCCCAAACTCAGTCTCGAAGGAATCCACTGCCCAAATTTGCAGTCGCTCACTCTGGGAAACTTCTCCTTTTTCGAAGAGCGACAACTCGATTGGATTCTATCGCACTCGTTAACACTTCAAGAACTTTACCTTGACGATTGTCCGATTTTATTCCGAGCAAGAATACTTGATGACGAATCCCAGCTTGCCAAATGTCCGCTACCGAAATCCAGAATGGAATTTCGAACTAGTGAGCAATGGTGCGATTCCTGGCACTACGATTATCCACGCCGGTGGAATGACTATTTTGCCTCATTTGAGACAGGCCTTCCACACCTCCGTCGTTTTGCAATTGGTCACAACCCAGGATGGGACTCGGATGATGGATGGGGGCTGCCATTTGAGAAAGAGCTGGACCTTGTACCGGTATTGATGCAGGAACGCTATATGGAGTTTGATGGAGGTATAGGGCCTTCTCAATTTATTTCATCACGGTGGGGACCTGAGCAGGAGGATTGGCCACATCGCGATGACGAAGATCGCGAGGCTTTGAAGGCATTATATCGGAAGATCAAGCAGCAGGTAGACTGTGGAGAGTTTGATATGGGACGTTACGAGGTTGCTGATTTGGTAGAAGTTCACTAGTGAATGGAAGCCAACGAGCTGGATGAAAGAGAAACAAGCAACTATTCTGGATTACTTTATGGAGGTATGGGGAACTAGCTGGTTTCTTTTCCAAAATGATTTCTAGCGAAGTCGACGTACATATTTGAGTTCTGTATAATGGAGACTCTGAATCTATAAAGCACGTGATCCGGAAGTTCAGGAAAGACAGAAGCCGAACCAATCAGAAGGCGGTGAAAGCGGGTATGTGCAAAGGGGCTCATCCCGGGGCTTTACCCGCGGATAAGAGCTACCCCGGCCACCCCGCGCTGGTATAATGGGGGATTCTCATTCGGCTGTTGAAGGGCTGACCGATGCCAGAATCGAACCATTTTTGATTCAAATAATCAAACCATTCGGCAGGTAGCAACGGGATTTTTACACCTTTGGCACGGTTGCAACTTCCCCACATTCATGACCAGCCGAACGATATGCCGTCGCCCACCATATATAGACCCTTAAAGGTCGCAGTTTCTTGACTTTCTTACCACTATCTCAACTCATTTTACAAAATGTCTCAACGCCAGTTTGACCCTACTTTCACTGCCTCTGTCATCAATGGCATGGGCACCAACGTCCCCGATCGTACTCGCGTGGTCTTGAGTTCTCTGATCAAGCACATCCACGACTTCGCTCGTGAGGTTGAGCTCACCCCCGCCGAGTGGATGCTCGGTGTTGAGTTCATCAACTCTGTCGGCCAGATCAGCACTCCTATCCGCAACGAAGGCCACCGCGTCTGCGACGTGATCGGTCTCGAGTCGTAAGTCTCTCATCTGCCTTGGTTTTTATTTAATTTTTATTTTCGAAAATAAAAATAAAAATAAATATTGGGAGGAAACCAAAGCTAATCGATTTCCATCAGTCTCGTCGATGAGATCGCCAACAAGATCATCACCGAAGACGGCATCACCCCCACCTCCAACGTTATTCTCGGCCCCTTCTGGTCTCCCAATGCCCCCTTCCGCGCTCTCGGCGACAGCACTATCCAGGACCCCAAGCCCAATGGCCGTGTCACCTTCATGCACGGTGCCGTTAAGGACATGGAGACCGGCAAGCCGATCGTCGGCGCCGTCCTCGACATCTGGCAAGCCTCGGCCAACGGCCAATACGATTTCCAGGACCCCACCCAGTCTGATAACAACCTCCGCGGCAAGTTCCGAACAAACGAGAACGGAGAATTCAACTGGTATTGCTACCACCCTACTCCCTACTCTCTGCCCACCGACGGTCCCGCCGGTGTTCTCCTCAGACTCATGGACCGCTCCCCCATGCGTCCCGCCCACATCCACCTCATGATCACCCACCCCGAATACGCCACCGTCATCAACCAGATCTACCCCAGCGACGACCCCCACCTCACCATCGACTCCGTCTTCGCTGTCAAGGATGATCTCGTTGTAGACTTTAAGCCCAAGACCGACGACCCCAAGGCCTCCCTCGACTTGGAGTACAATGTCAAGATGGCTCTCAAGAAACACCACCCCAACCCCAACTCTGCTCCCCCCGTGTCCTCTTTCGAGCGCCACAGCAAAGAGACCAAGGAGGCCCAGGGAAAGCTTTGAGCGGCTGGATAACGATTACACAAATTGGGACGGCGTTCAACATGACTCATGTACATTTAGCATTTTATTTGAATTTTCACGAGATAAACTCTCCTTTACACGATTTCTTTGTCCTTTACGCTGCACTTCCCCACATTAACGTCGCGTAGAAGGTCCGTGCTGCCGGCTTAAGCTTTCTAGCTTCGCATCCTGGTCAGCCCTGTGCGACTAGATCGTGTAGATCCCCCGCAATGCGGGCGATTTCTTAATTTGCATGCATGTACCCGCCTGCATGAAGACCTTGGCCCCGGAATCCGGGGCACATTTCGACCAGTAGAATTCAACGTCGACCTGGCCGCTAACCACACCCCCAGTGAAGCCATGGAGGCAGCGACACTACATCCTTCTTACTAAGATCAAGGGTCTTATAACGAGTGTAGTTTCCACTCTAACAACAGTCTAGGCTTATGGAGACCCCCGAATATCCAACCATCTATGCTCCATGACACGAAACTAGTAGGTAAAGCAAATGAAAAATATATCGTTCATTCTCTAGTCCCCACACAGAAGAAGCAAGTGTACTCCTGTAAAACCACCTAGAAAGTCCTCCGCGGATGACCCGATGGATCAGGCCGCCAAGAAATATCAATCTCTTCCTCGGATGGTTCTTGGTAGCCCGTGGAAGACTCGGGCTTTGCGTGGCGAAGACGATCTTCGTTGTTAAGGATGTTTGTTTTGTCAATGGCCTCCTTATAATCTCGGGCTGGGGGGTTGTTAGCAGGTCTGAAAGAAGTAGAAATTATGCGTGGGATGGGTCAGGGAAAGCTGCGTACTCATTCTTTCGTCGATGTCCGAGGAACCGGGCTGGAGAGGATCTTTCATCTCTGGAGCGTCATTCTGCTCATGTTCATGCTCGTGATGATGCTCGTGCTTATGGATATTGGCATGCGAGCGATTGATCATTTTGATGGAGTTGTCGAACAATAGACGTGGATTGAGCAATGTACAATGATGGAGGTGTTGGGAATTTGCTGGTGTTTGGAGATGTGGCTATAGCTTTATGCTGGGAGGATTATATCGTCATTATGACTATTAATGACATTTTGGAGGTCGCCAACATGAACTCGCCTCTCATTAGGGGGTGTTTTCTACAAATTTATTGGTTGGTTTAGATTGATATTATAATATGGTTGTGATATTAGGTCCAAGGGAGATCAGACGGACTGTCTGTAGTCGATGTTCGAAACCTTGCGACGAAACAAAGAGTAGTACTGTAAAGATCACCTAAGTTTGGGAAATTCCATCTGGAAATTTGCCTCAAATGCCATTGGATCAGGATTGGCCACCCGTGACAAGTGTATTTATCAGATACGTCTACCTGTGTGGGTACGCTTTAGGTATGTCTGTGTACGAGAAGCAGATGGATCGCGGAACGATTGGCTTCGATTGAAGGCCCTGGTACTCAACATCTGTCATTTTCTTTAAGAACAAGAACAAGGCTCGCCTTAAAAAAAAGGAGCTGTCACTTGAGTTGCCACAACCGCCTCATTTTGATCAGGCGCATCATGTGTCAAACCAGCCGCAGTGGCTATATGCCGTGTGTGTGAATTGGATTATACAACAAATGGGGGGTTTTAGCCATACCCAGCTGTAACAAAATTCATAAGGCCTTGGGTAATCAAGATAAGAAGCATGAAGCCACGGCATAATCTCATGCCATTTCCCAAGAATGATTTATCAAACTTGGGGCATACTGCGAAACTTCAGCTCTCTTCGTCCAATTCGAACGAGATCGGAGTTCAAGAGAGTTTCCTTCTCAAACCCATCCATGACCTGGTTCAGCACTGCTGCTGCAAGCTCACTCCGTTGTACGTTCGCAAGGGGCCGTCCGAAAAGGTTTAGGATACGGAAAAGGTTCGCCACTAAAGCTCGCGACCAAGTGGTGGAGTTTGCAATCGCACCAGGCTGAGCAATGCAGACCTCGACGTCCTCTTTCTCAGCAGGAAATTTAAGGACCATGAGTTCTGTATTGCACTATTTTAAGAAAAGACATATTAGCGTAAGATTCAGAAAGGATCATGGGCTTCTCATTGGTTACCCGCATGACCTGGTAGTCGGCCATGATTATTGGCCTCTCTGTTGGGTCTCGAGGTGTTCCCTGCGCACTCAGGTACATGAAACGAAAGGGACGCGCCGGTCCAGCCTTGTACATCGCCTCAAACCCAAGTTTCGTGCAGTCCTGGCAGACACGCTTAACTTCAGCAAAGTCAAAGCCACCAGTGCGGAATGGTGTGACAGCAACAGTCCTACAGGCACCATCGAAATGTCATAGTCAGTCTTGAGAAGACAAAGAGGGTGCTGTTTGAGGCATACCAAATACAAGCTTCGGCTCCAGCAAGCTCGGCCTTCACAATATCAGGGTATTCACCATAGTCGTGAATGTCAACGCTCCTCAGCTTTGATGTGTCGATACCTTCGTCGAGCTGCAGGGGCCTGCGAGCCAAAGCAACCACCCGAGTGATGTCGCGCATTTGCAAGCTTTGTCTCACGATCTCGGTGCCCAGGAGTCCGGTTGCACCAGCTACAATGAGCTTCATGTTTGCTCCAAGGTCTGGTTCCGAGGAAGAACGAGTATCTGTTTGTGGGGGAAGAAGAGTGACTTGAAAGGTTGGCAGGTGGGATAAGTATCGGGATTCAGGGACGGGAATGGTTTAAACCCGATAAGATACCTTCCCAGATGTATGATTTAGCTCCTTCCATACCTGTATTGATATCACCCTCATATTGGCAATTACCTAACCTCAATGTTCCAGGGCTATTCAACTCTTAACAATCTCCAGGGCTTTTATATATGGGTCCTGCAGGCCGGGAACCCGAACTATTTGCCGGCTCCACTTCCCGAGGTTGTTCGGATCTTCTAAGAATCCCGATGGAGGCTACGCTATTTCTTACAGGCTACGCAGAAAATCCTCAGATGTAATAGGCTAATAAGATAGAGGAATACCTGGTAAAAAGAAAATCGAGCTAGCAAATGATAAATGTGGGCCGAATCCCACACAAACAACGGATATGAATACAGGGCAGAAGGGAGTGATAAAGCAAACACGTGTCAGACTATTGCTTTTTGACTTACAGGAGCTTGTTTCATTTAGACTGTGAATGATTTTGGACACGATGGTGAAATATACCCCATCGGGAAGCGTGAGTGACACTAACATATTAGCGAAATCCTGCAAAGTCACCACTGGATGGTCGGAAACCTTTTTGTTTGCATTTCTGAGCACCCAAATAGGGCCTCTGACTGATATAAAACAACTTCAATCACATATAACAAGCTGTCTTTCAAATAATGTATTCGCAAACACTTTCTTTCGCGATCGCATCCTGGCTGGCCCTAACGGTCTTGGGCAACTTGTTCGATCCTAAAAGTTATGCCAAGCCAGATGTCATAGTCTCCGATATTGTCGTTGTTGGAGGAGGCTGCTCGGGAACATATGCCGCCATCAATCTACGCAAGCTGGGCCAAAGCGTAGTTATTGTGGAAAGAGAAAAACATCTAGGTGGCCACACAAACACCTACACTGATAAAGCTACCGGTATCACTATGGACTACGGCGTTCAGACGTTCCTGAATAGCTCGATCACGCGTGACTACTTCGCGCACTTCAACATCTCCCTTGTCAACCACACCCGATCTAATATCGCCACCTCGCTGGCGGATTTTAACACAGGAAAACCTGTGTCTGTTAATCCTAGTCGGAACCTTACCGGATGGGCCGTTCAGCTCGTCCAGTATCCTTGGCTGGACTCCACCTGGAAAATTCCACACCCTGTTGCCCCAGACCTACTCCTACCATTGGGGGACTTTCTCGTCAAATATAACCTTACCGATGCTGCTTTTAACCTTTACTTCAGCTCACAGGGAACATCAAATCCACTGCAGCAATTAACAGTCAACGTGATGAAGATGGTCGACCCAGTGTACCTGAGTGAGATAACAGGTGCTGGTCTTGTCACCGCAGATAACAATAACTCCGAGCTATATGTTAAGGCTCTTGCTGAGCTAGGATCAAACGTCCTCGTCTCCTCGACCGTGACAGTTGCTGCAAGACCACAAAATGGACAAGGCGTCTCACTGGTCGTCAAGACGCCCACTGGATCCAAGCTAGTTCAAGCATCCAAGCTTCTGATCACCATTCCACCAACTCTAGAAAACATGATACCATTTAACCTCAGCCCACAGGAGCATCGGGTCTTCTCACAGTGGAGCTACATGGGCTACTATACTCTGGTACTCATTAACACTGGCTTGCCCGAAGGGTACCAGTGGATCAATGCGAACAAGTATTTCGCAACGTATCACATTCCTCAGCAGCCTGGAGCTTCCCAGATTACAAGTACGCGTATTCCAGGAGTGTTCTACGTCTGGTACCGCAGCCCATCACATATGACGCGGTTAGCAGTCGAGAAAGCGACCATTCGGGCCATTCAGAAGTTGCAGAAGGCACATAACTTTACAATTACAACCCCCAAAATCATCAAGTTCAAATCCCACACACCTTTCAAGCTGAGTGTGTCAGCTCAGGCTATCAGCGACGGGTTCTACCGTGATCTGTATGCGCTGCAGGGTAAGCGAAACACTTGGTACACCGGCGCTGCATTGATCTCTCACAACGGAGGGGTTATCTGGAAATTCACGCAGGCACTACTGTCCCGGATTGTTGCATCTTGATGGGATATCGCTCGCAGCTGGATGTGGGGTATTTCTACATATGACTTGAGAGTGCATCAGTCTTCATGTTAAGCTTATTATTATCTGCCCAAGCCCGTTTGGGACAATTTATCCTGTATTATTATTGAACAATATTGATAGAAATTGTGCTTCTCACCGTTTCTCTGAGTTTTGCGTTTATTAAAACGCTAAGACTGAAATAGAAATTACCGTGCGAAATTAGCTAATTTTCATCGATATTCCCGAGATACATCTGGTTCATCAAGTGTGATGCGCCCATCGCCTCCAGGGCTAGTTAGTTACCTATATTGCCGATTATGTAAGACATTAGAACTGCTGTTGGTTTATTGGTGTTAAAGGCTCTTGGTTCTTTCGCTTTTACATCTGGTGCTAACATGTGTTCAACAGACTTCTCTATAATAGATTTTGGATCGAGACCCTTTCAATTCGTGGTCATGTACGTGGTCATATACTTCATTCAATTTCATAGCCCTAGATTGTGCTTAGATTGAGCTTAGCCGGACAAGGAACCAACTATACCGCGTGTTGATAAAGACCAACAAGTATCACACTGTCCCATCTCAAATCTACCATTTGAAAACATCCACACGATCAACCTCCTCAATCTACTCAATTTCAGGGCCAAACGCTCAGGCTCTTAAACTGCCACCATTTGGAATGTCGTACAAGCCGAACCTTGCATCCTTATCCGACCTCCGTTCTTAGAATCACAAAGTTTCAGTTGGTGGTTATGACACCAGTAGTCTGCATGCCCAACACACTCAAGGAACTCTCAGGTAGCAACAGCTGGGGCTCATCAGTGTACAAATCCAGAGGAGTAACATTCGAGACAGTGGGTCTTCCCTGCCCCGCAGTCACATTTGTATCCTGACTCTGGGTCATAGTAGCATCTATAGACCGGTCACAGGCTGGGCATATGGTGTAGTTAACGCGACGGGCCTTGAGCATACGTGGCTCGATGAGTTTATGGTAGACCCCTTTAGCAAAGGAGCGGAAATATAACAGACTAGAACGATTAGTATATTGGGGAGACCAGGTTGGATTCCAGTGAACAAACTTACGCGAGGAGGACACATGAGAGGTTGGAGTAGATCTGTGGAATACCACGGGAAAGCTTGTAGTTCTGGGGAGTAAACCATGCGCTGATCTCTTGAGAAGAAAGAATGACGGTTCCGGAAATGTATACTCCGACCATCAGCAAGGCCATCAATAAATCAGTAGCGATTTCGAAGGATGAATAACATTGATTCTTGGATTTGCGATATTTGAGGAGCATGAATGCAGGCGTGACAGTGGAAATCGAGATCTTTGAATTGTTAGATAGGGGGTTTTTTTTATCATGAAAGGAGAAGAAGGCATACCGCTAGGAGTTGAATCCATGTTTGAGGGCTACCACCAGTGATAGGGACAGCAGCGAGAGCGCATGGCCACGAAATCACCGAGAGAAAGGTCTGAGTCTTGCGAGTTCGAGAGAGCGGGTGTTTGGCGGAACACATTCTTTCGGACATTTTCACTTTGATGTTTCTTGGCTGTACAAGATAAGATTAAATGTGAGGTTTATGGGGATTTGGAAGTCAATGTTCTCATTTATTAAGCAACTGGTTTGATGGCCCCCGGCTCTGCCGGGGCAACACTAAACACTGTTGCCTTGTATAATCAGTCTGCCTGGGGCGACTTAGTGTGGGTAAAAATAGATGCGGACCTTTAATAGGCTAGTTTCAATCAACACCGCTTTTAAAGTTACCCCGGGAGACGATGTTTAGACCCGCAAAAGGAAAACATGCAAACGAACTACCAATCACTCTACTATTCAAGTCATATCATATGAAAGAATCCAATATATCCGATACTGCCAGAACCATGACGCCATGTTAAGAACCAAAATCGTTCGAGATGTCCAAAGGAAAATAAAATAGGTAACCGTGCCAAGCAACACACCGGGTGATGCCATTTGTTTCGCCAGATCACACGTTTCATATCAAGCATACAATTTCCAAGGTTGATAGAACCTCTGCTCCAATATCGGGTCCGATCGGGTTAACCCGCAAGTGGAGTAAGAGGGATCCATGGATCTCATAGTCGACCAGTTGACATGGTCGTTTTGGTGAACTTGTGGTTTTCCGGATAAATACCCCTTACCGGTGCTCTCAGAAGGAAATTATATTGGGGAACCGGAAGAAATGCTTTGTCTCAAGACACAGTTCTGTGGTGACTAGATTGGTGCCAACGCAAGCTGGTTGTTGAAAAGATTTGGTAGAAATAACGAAATTCAATAGCGCCTGTTGCGATGTGAGTATGATATCTTACATCTTATACCAGCTCAGAACCCCATATAAGCCTCGTCCATCTTCTTTGTTGGCGTTTCCCATCGATCTATATTGGACTTAGGCAGTGGGAGTCGGATATGCGCACTCGAACATGGACAGTCTTAGGTGAAAGCTGGCTTAAGTAGACCAGGGAAGTATTCTTGAGCGCGATTGAGACTAACTATAACACTACGTTGACATTATAGTTCCCTCTACTATGAAATACCCCAGGAGTGTGGCTCCTCCGGGAGGAGCAGCTCGCGGTAATTCTGACAGAACAGCAGCATACAGTTGAACCGATTCTCGAATAGCACAGTTGAGATACGGCATAGCCAGTCATCGGGATGACAAAGGCGTTCCCAAAGGACCCGTGGACATCGAGTCGGGAATAGGTGATGTCATATTTTCACGTGCTATCGTGTATAGTTTGAAACTGTCCTCTGCTGGCTTCACACCTAATGACTTGGTGCCTAGCGCGACCAGCTAGGGTACTTGGTTATTCGGCGGCATGTTGTGGAGTTTTGAAGTGATGAATTCATACGCCTGTTCTTTCCTTGTATGATGTACGTCAGTTGTAGAGAGTTTATCTAGATGGAAGAAAAATTCCACACCAAACCCGTTCCAGTTTGGTAACTCCGGGCGGACTTACCCACAGTCCGGCTCGGCCCGGCGCTAACAGGTATGAACCGTTGATCATCGGAGGTTATCCCAGAACTTTATCCAGTTTGTTGTGGGTGGCCCCTAGGACGGGCAAGCTTGGACTCGGAATATCATTCCTGAGAAAGGAGCGAAAAAAAAAAACATGAAAATCTGTATAAATTCAGTCTGTTCCCGTCTTGATCAAGCGTGGGATGACTGTGTTCTTTTGTGGTTGTTTCGATGCACACATGCTATGGGGCATTTTGCGTCTAGTATTTGTGACATTTAGTGCAATACTTGGACCGCCTGGAATATGCCGTTAGTCCGAACTTGACAACAGCAATAGGGGTGGCCGTATCCCCCCGCTATTGCGACACTCCATATCGACAGAGATCCTACAGGAACCGAATCTGGCTAGTCGAGATTCTGATAATGACCAATGATTAAGCATCGGATTACTATCCAGATGCACAAAGGGAAGCAGAGCCTCGTGCCAAAGGTCACATGGCGTTAAAGGACTATAGCCTTTTACCAATTCCAAATATGCACAGCCATTACCGACTCGGGGGGAGATAGTGAGCCTAACAAGATTGGAGTTTCCGCAATATTTAAAACCGTGAGTAGTTGCCGTGAATAGCTGCTGCGCCCCGGATAAGCCCCGCCTTGTCATAACGGCGGCAGCACGATGATGCAGGTCCGGCAAGCGGATGTGTGTAGATGCAGTCCACAGCTCTTAGCGTGTGATTCTTTTTTATGTCAATTCGACCCCTAACCAAAAGGTAGTTTAACAAGCTGCTGACTGTTAGAACGAGATGATGATATATTTATGCTGCACTAGGTGTGTATCTACCGTGTTTGGTTAGTGTAGCTCCCCAGTATGCGACTGTCTCGCGTGGCTCTCACAGGGGAATATTAACCAATAATAGAGGGTTTTATTTATACTGTTGGGCAAAGGGAGTATGTACATCTATCTCTCGGTCAATGGTCAGTCGACCAGGACAAGTCACATCCACTGTTTTTTCCTCAAGTCACAGTGTGTTATTGTTTGTGGTTGCAACAATAGCAAATTGTTGTCTTTCCATGGCCACAAGGGGCATGTACTAAGTGCCATTCAACTTACCACAAGAAACCTCTTTGATTTGGTTCAAGCTATCACGCCATAGAGGCGCAGATCAGTGGGAGAGACTTCCGGATGTTCGGCTCTACCTGATCTCTCTGTAACCCAACCTATTTTTTTTGATACGCTCAGCCATGGATCTAGATCTTCATTCTGTCGATCAGTTATATCTGACTAAATGTCAATGATTGCATTCCCAAAGCCTGCATTTAAGTAAAGATGCGATGGTTCCTCCAAAATCTTATGTCAACCATGGGATATATAAACACCAAGCCTACCAAGCACAGCACATATAATACAAGTTCTGTATCGGAGATTGAAGAGGTTCTGAAACCAGCCAATGACACAATTAATGCCCCGTACATTTTGGCTTCTCAATGCACGGATCATAAATGCTTTGTGCTACACTCTTCTGGCTCCACTAGGGCGAGAACCAGCTTTTACCTCCGGCCCTGCTTGTTATAGCAGGTGTGATTTCAAATACCAATTCCAAATCACCGTCCACGTGCTGCATATGTCGCGGTTGAGAACAATAATAGCCAGTCGGTGTAGCGTACCCATATAACAACCTGCCACACTATGAACAGTTTGAAAATCCGAACCTCAACCTTGATGAGCAACTAACCAATTCGGCTAACAGACCGAACATCAGAATGCCAGATTATCCAACCTCCGATCAACAATCGACAAACATGGCTAACCCGCTGGTACATTCTACCACCATCCAGCTTATGTATACTACCCAAGTGGCGCGACGAAAAGACTAACGCCGCAGCCAGCGCAGGGACGGAAGTTTATTCAAAGCTATCAAGATCATTAGCCGTTTAGCCTCCATAAAGCACCATCTTGGTTACCTGAAAGGCGTGAGGAAGTCATGAGTATGGGGTCATTTAGAATGCAGCGCTGATCACACCATGCGTAGGACAGTCTTTTTGGGCTTTATCGGGGAAGAAGAGTGGACTTTCGACAAGTACAAGTTGCCAAATGCGGAAGATCATGAAGGAAACTTTCTACAAGGGAGGGTGTCTGGCAAAAAAGTAGTCAATCTATAATTACCGACGCTTGAGCGACTCAGGCACGAGTGCACTCGGTAGTCTGAGTCAATAGCTATAAATACCCACTACAAATACCTGTCTCATTGATCAGATACTCTTGTTCTTCCTGGAGGCGTGGTAGCATCAAAATATCAGCACTCTATTAAAATTCTCAATATGTCTGGCTCACGACAGCAGCCTGGACTGGTGAGACAATTGCCACCTAGCTCATAAGGCGACTCTTGGCGCTGATATCTTAGGCTTGCGAGGAATGCCGCAAAAAGAAACTTCGATGCGATAGGCGACGGCCTCAATGTGACCAGTGCGAGGACTCTGGTACAGCGTGCCTTGTGAATCAGGTTCGCTCGCCACGGGGTCCCAAGAAGGGACATCTCAAGGCTTTGCGTAATCGCATTGGTTCGTTGGAAATATGACCTATACACATTCCCTACTAATTTAGTTCCAAGCTACACTGGAAAGTATTATAAATCGTGACCAGGGCAGCCTCGGTCTCAAGGAAGTATTGGACGGCAGTGAGAAATATCACTCCAAGGAGACAGTTCAAATTCTTAGCCCACCTCAAGATTATATCCCCAATTCTACAAACGTCGAATGCCGTGATATCACATATTCCATTGAAACATCAACAATAAACTCACCTGTTACTATTACACCAATGACCCCCCTGATCAAGAGAAGTCAGATATACTCGAGGCAGATCTGTACGCAAAGCCCACACTCCAACTCCAAATATATCTAACAAAAAGTGAAGAGATCAGCTATATTTTGACAGAGTACACCCTGTCGCGCCGATGCTCCACCAAGGCCGGTACTTCTCCTGGTCACAGATATTCAACAAACCACCTTCTCACATCTGCTTGCAACTTGCAATGTGGGCACTAGCAGCAGCTTCATCTGCCCATTTACAACACATGCGAGAGTCCCTCTATACCCGTGCGCGGTCCGGGATTGAGGCTCTAGATCACGATATTGAATCTAGTAATGCGGCCTGTCTCCAGACAGCCCAAGCATGGCTTCTTCTAACTCATTATGAGTTCCGCTACATGAGCTACCGTCGAGCTTGGTTTACCGCAGGACGCGCCTTTCGAATTATCCAACTGGCCAAACTCCACGAGATTGATCGGCTTAATGACGTTACCGTAAACATGGCACACCCCGAAGCATGGGCCGAGGCCGAGGAAAATCGACGGACATACTGGCTGGCCTATTGTCTCGACCGCTTCCTCAATATCTCTGACGATTGGCCTCTAAGTCTACACGAGGAAGCAGTGAGCAATTACTAGCCCTTCTATAGAATTCCTCGAGTGACACTAACATCTACTCCAGCTCTGCATATATCTTCCCGTCTCCGAATCGGATTTCCAGCACAGCAGACCAGTCTTTATGGACTCCTTATATGACGAGATCGAGACCTCCGGACAGAAAATGCTGCCGCCTTTCGCGGAGACAATCGTCCTGGTCACGCTATGCTGGCACAGCGTTGCATTCCAGCGCGCTGCACACGGTGACAAAACATCTCCGAGCGACGGAGATACCTGGAAGCGCCATACTAGCCTGTACCAAATGGTACAACAGCGGCTGATGCTGATCTCGCTACCCCCGTCCGCGCCCGAACTCCACGACCCTATGCGTCTCTTCACAAACATGCTCGCCAATGCTGCTGTGATATGGTTCTACAACATAATGGAGACCCTGCAAGTGGAAATTGAAGATGAGATTATCCTTGTTCCACTCTACTCCGCGTACGAAATAGTAGGTTTGGCGAAGCCGCTCACCCGATCCAGCTTTTTCAAGGTGAGACTTTCCCCTTCTGCCCCGTGAATTTACCGAAGGTGCTGTGTCTCACGAGGTTGTACAGGCGCATGCGTTTTCTCCCATGCTACTCTATCTCTCGGCAAAGTTTCTCAAGGCACATGCTGATCAACTGAGTACGTGTATCCCCGCGTCGGAGGAAAAACAGCAGAAGTTGGAGGATTTGAAAAAGGCCTTGCGGGTTTTGCAGGGTGGGAATAATTTAGCTATGAGCTACTTGGAGCTGCTCGATTCGGACTCGTTTCAGAAATTGTGCAACCTGTCGACTGTCCATGGATGTACTATGTCTGAAGTCACAGATCAGCAGGAGCCACCTTTCTTTTTGGATATCATGAATCTTTTTTAGCTCGCTATATGGATAACAGGCAGGCCCTGAGTTACCCCTTTCGAATTATTCTCCTAGGTCTTGGATTGGCGCTCAGATGTAGTGTTCGAGTGGTCGGCGTCTTCGAATCAAATGTCATTCATTACTTTTCCCCCGTAGGCCGCGGGATATTGAGAATTTATTCACTTAACTATCATTATGAGCTTGATTTTCAATTCACTTCGTGATGAATACCATGTTACTCGGTTTGCGTATATCTAAGGATTCACCTCAATGGCTAGATTCAACTCGGGGTTTAATTGGTCTTTCTTGAGTAACGGTACCTACACAGCAGTGCTCAGTCAGATATTCCAAAAATCCTGCTGGATACCTCCTGTAGATCTATCTAAGAGACGTCCAGAGGTCGGAGACTCTCCTTGGGAGCTACAGAAGGTTCTCTCTCTTCTCGATGAAAGGTCAACTCTATCCGATGGAAAAGAAACTTGGCAAGGGTGATATTCCTAGGAAACTACAAATACAATGGCTACGGAAGAAACCCCGTGCCCGATGGAGGCGGTCACTCGCCTCGGCGATATCCTTACTCCCCATCCTTCCACAGAATTCACCATGTCATCCTCCTGCACACCTCAAGACAAATTCAAAGGGAAACAACCACCTTCTGAGCAGACACGCCCCTCATGTGACAGTCCATAGCACTTTGGATTTGTTCCAGACCCTTCCCCACAATACGCGGCTTAGGAGCAGCAACAAAAGTCCCACCTGCAAGGGCCTCAGGGAGGAACTCACGGTAAATCATAGCGCCAACCTCGGTATGGGCCGCAGAGCTACCGAAAATTGACTTGGTTTTCACGCCGCGGCGCTTCGACTTGATGAAAATTTTGATGTCGGACCACTTTGAGGCTGCCATAGTACGGAAGAGTTGGAAGGTTGTGGTTGGGACTTTTTCCGGGAACGGGAAGCCGGCTTGGGCAACAAACTTCGAGCCGTTGGTCTTTGCGAGAATTTTGATGCAAGCTTCAGTCGAGTCGTTTCCGATAGCGATGGCGCCGACAACCATCTTATCCTTCAAAAGATGGATTATTTGCGGAATGGTTAGCTCATTGCGGTAATCAAAGACGGCGGAAGCGCCCAGAGTAGTGACATATTCAAAATTTTTGGGAGAGCAAGTGGTGATAACCTCATATCCAGCCAATGCGGCAAGCTGGATGGCGTTGCAGCCGACGCTGGTTGATCCACCCCACACCAGGACTGCTTCGGGGAGCGAATTCGGGGCTGCACGCAGCAAGTTGCCAGGGCGATTAAGAAAGAGAAACTCCGATTGGAACAAGGCGGTTGCGGCAGTTGATAGACCGAGGGGAACGACGCAAGCTTCTTCGTAGGAGAGCCAGTCCGGGATCTCCGTGACCATGTGATCACGGATCACAGTGTAGTGTTGGAAAGCACCCTCAGACGACCTGTTGACGGCTGGGTCCATGGAGAGGGCGTGAGCGAGAACCCGATCACCAACCTTAACGTTAGAGACCTTGTCACCAAGCTGAACGACCTCACCGGCACAGTCATTTCCGAGCACAACCGGGTAGTTGATCCAGGAGAACATCTTGTCACCCATCAACTGCTTGGTCCATTCAACGGGATTGACAGCCACAGCAGCATTCTTGATGATGATTTGATGGGGGCCTGGAGGTGTGTATGGTGCGACACCGACCATGAGTGGGTGAGCTGATTTGGCAGTAAGCCACGCAGCTTGGTTAGAAGGAGCCTGGATAGTACCACCCGGGACACTGCGAGGCTGGTTAGAGATATTCTGATTCTGGTCAGAGGTGAGCTGGTCAGAGGCAATCTGGTCACAGGAGATCTTATCAGAATCCTCATCACAGGCGATCTGGTCAGCATGGTTAGAAGACATCTTGGCGATGAAGGGAGGGGACGGAAGATGGAGAATCAAAAATACCAAAGCTAGGTAGTAAATGCTAGAATATAGACGCGTGAATAAAATAAACATGGACGCGTGTCAAAAAGCAGCGAAACAAAGATATAAGTCGAACGCGTCGGACGCGATGTTAGATGGAGGAGGAAAGAGGCAAGAGAAAATGGAAAGAGTGACCCTAGACATTGTATGAGACAATCCACAATTCACAGGTGTATGAGTATACATCTTCTGGAGCTAGAAGTATATAGCGTACTGAGATCATGCGTCGAATGAGTCATTGTCAATTACCGTACACGCCTATGAAATGTTCTAGGAAGGCATTCGCTAGGACAACGGCAATCTATCTGGCCTGATTCATGCCCACTCGGTTTCTCTCATTTTCTTTGTAGTTGTTATATAAAGACCACATCACCCAGTACAGATTACTATGACTGGAAACAGAGCCATATAGAAAGAACATTTTTTGAACAGACATCACATATTTTGTCCTATTGTCTACACATTCCCTTCGACTGAAAGATAAGTGTTGCTGCATCGAATTCGATCGGCCAATACATTATCGGGATAATATCTTCCATGAACCATCTAAGCACTAGCCTATGCTTCTGGTAATTCATTAATAGTCGGAAATTGCAAAAGCTCGAGAGATTCAATTACCCTACCTCCTTTGGCCAAATTTGCGTGCCTAAACCATATCCATCACGTCTCAGTGTAGTAGGGGCTCTAGGTAATAGCCTCAAACCTCAGAGTATCGGTACGAGTATAACGGTGGCACAGGCCGCTTGACATGTCCCGAAAGCTGAATTGCAACCGATGATGGAGGCAGGTGCACTTGCGCGCATAGTGGCTCCCCAGGTGAGGCCTGCTGCTGAGTAACAAGCCATGACAACTGCGGCACACCCGGTACTTATACCCCGATGTACAAGCAAACAATCATGGGATGGTCCAATCAATAACCTGACAAATTTTGAAAGCGGAGGGAAGTGAGGCAACACCGCTTGCGAGCTTTGAATGAAATAGAAGTCCACAAGGGTACAATGAAGAAAGTCTTAATTCAGATGGTTTTATCACCGCCTAAATGACATTGGTAACAGAGAGTCTCTATCCCATAACCCACCGGGGACCTTGAGTGGTTCAAGCAGTCTTTGAGTGCATATACACAGGATTCTAGGCCGCAATGTACTCAAAATAAAACCTCCCTCGACCTAAGAGACTCACCTAGATCTGAAATGCGAAAGTACTCGAGGGCAGTTTGCTGTCCTGATAGTTGGATTGTGGGCTTGCGAGGCCAAATCTTGAAGTACTTCTGCACCTTCGTGCAGCGCGCGACTTTCTCGGGGGTCTTCCTCCACCAGACTTAGTACCACCATTTTATACCTGAATATTTGAATGTTCAGTTCAATCCTTTCGCGGAGTTATCATACTTTCATCGAAGACACGATGGAAACCAACCTCGAAGTCTGATACAGTGACCGAATTAGGTTTAGCCTCCTCGGAGTGGAGACTTCGGTGGATGGATCCGCTCCGGCGGAGTCTAAACCATTTTAGGAAGTATTGCCCAGCGCGTACCTGCCTACAGCAATATGGAAAGCATACAAGCCCGAATTTGCCAGTCGAAAAAAAACATGGATTTCGCATCATTCTTCATGGACTACTTGAGCGCTGCATTATCGATTTCCTTAAGCGAAAATACCTTCAGCCTGAATTTCTTAAGCGCCTCCTCTTTGGAAGACCTCCTCTCTGTATTGGAAACGGCACTACATATAATCAATTTTCTTGCCTTGGTTTCTCTCTTTCTTTCATGTCACCGGGAATTATAAAAGAGCCCCATACATCCCTCGAGATATCTGGTAATGGTTTAGATGTTGTTGACTCTCACGCAACGCGGGTGGTTACAGTGGATTGGAGGTCCAAAACCTCATCTCATTGCTTGATGATGTCCAGTGTGAACTGGTTGGCTTGCACTTGAAAATGCTTGTTTTGGAGGGATTGTTTCCCTATGTCCTCGTAGCATTGAATGGCCTCTCGTGCTTTCTCTTGATGATATCGCTGCTGTCCCTCTCGGCATTATTGTTTCTTCTCGGTAATCTGGTTCGTGTTTCAGGTCCCGTTCTGCTGAGCAGGCATAGTAAGTAGACTGTGTCATTATATATCTGCACCAAATCAGAAAAAGCACTTGCATATATTTGTATCAATATCGCCATGTAACGTAGGTCATGGTGCAGAGCACTCTGTAAAATCGATACAATTTCAATTAGACACAGTGCTAAAGAACATATTCATCATGCCCTCTGATCACTACTTTGTGTATTCCTAGGTTTTCAAGGTTACCTATTAGTAGCTCAAGTCCCATAAGCTACCTATGAAACCATGTCCCTGCCAACCCTTGAATCTTGACACAAAGGCGACAGGATCTTAGCCAATCTCGTTATTCTGACCCCAGTATATTTGTTCTTTGACTCGGTCGGACGCATTAAACCATATGACAACGAATCTTCTCTGATGTTCAAAGTCACTCAATACATACATAGCGTTAGACTGGTCCCAGAAATGAGATCTGCTTTTTGATGGTGTCTGCCTACGCCAACGATAATTTGAGGTCGATTTAGAGAGAATTTAAATAGTTGCAGTACCTGGCTTCGCTCTTCTTAGGATTTCCCTTTGATCTGCTGTCATGTAACCCCACAAATTGGTTGTTTGTATGCAGGTATCTACTACCCTGGTAGGCTAGACCCTTGGCAAGATTGTGCGTTATATCGCTTCTTCAAAGAGAACCTGCCATCCCAACTCCGAAGAGGAAAGAGTGATACCCGAACAAAGACCATTCGGCGTCACATTTGCACCAGGGGTTCCTCAGATGCACCGACTTTCTTTGTTGATGGTGGCGGAGGAGGCAGTTTGACTTGTTCTTTATTACAATTCAATATGATGTCCTCGAGTAAGAATGGTTTTAAGTGGCTCTTCAGAGACTCTCAGACCCTGCACTTTACTGTAAAGAGCATACTTGCGTTTCATATGATTCACTGACTGCATCAATGCATATAGCCTCCTCGATATTGTTCTGAGGCGTGATATCCGCGGTGGTGTTCTTTGGCGATAAATATAAAGCCGCGCGTTGTTCTTCAAAGAGCTTCGTCCTCTCAAGTAAATCTACACAAGATGGGGTCTTTCCAAAAGGGCATCTTCGTCGCTCTATGCGGTCTCGGTTTGATTCATGGAACAGTTGCCGTGTCTACATCTGCAGCTACAACTACAGATAGTGTTAGTACCTACCTTCCCAACGTCACTTCTACCCTAAATACTCACTCAGCATAGATGAAACCAGTCGCAACAGGATACACCTGCCCCTCTATTATTGTTGGCACCCAGGATACATGTGACAGCCTAGCTGTCAAGTGTGGTATCTCGGCAGCTTCGTTCGCTTCCCTCAACCCGAAGATTGCTTGCTCCTCTCTGGCCAAGGAAAAACCTGTCTGCTGTGAGTTGGGGGATCCTGCTTATCCACCGAAAGCAGGAACTGCGTGGTGTTACACTCATACTGTCCGCAGTGGGGAAACCTGCGCGAAGATTTCCGAGGCATACAAGATCACCGAGGCTAATATCGAGACTTGGAATGCCAATACTACCGCATGGTACGGCTGCAAGGATCTACGGGATGGGGGCCAAATTTGTCTCGACAAAGGCGAACCCCCAATGCCAGTTGCGATCGGTGATGCAATCTGTGGTCCCCAAGTGCCTGGAACAGGACGTCCGAAGATGTCGTTCATGATTCCTACTTTGAATCCATGCCCTGCCGGCCAATGTGTACGGTTGATCAAGATTTGAATTCGGTTTCGCTGCCTAGACTGACCATATCTATAGTGTTCTAAAAAGGGTCAGTGCGGTACTGGTGCAGACTTCTGTGGCTCAGGTGCACTCGCTATACCGGCTGGTGCACTGAACAAGGATGCTACAGGCCCTGCAAACAAAGTTTCATCTGAGTCTTCAACCAAAGACGCATCTGATGCCGCAGAGAAACAGGCGTCTGAGGCTGCGAAGAAAGATGCATCTAAAGCTAAAATTGTATTTGCAAGTGAAGCTACATCCGCGAAAACAACATCTGCAACTAAAGCTACATCAACGGCAGCTTCATCTACAACAAGCAAAGCTACATCCGGGGGAACCATTGTATCCTTGGTAGCTAAATCTCTATCGACATCGACCGAAAACAAGGATCCACATTTCTTCACGACAGATATACCCTTGATAGATGTACCCTTGACATATCTCCACCCGACCACAACCGTGCCTGCCAAAGAAGCAATGAAGGTGGTCGCTCATCTCCTGACCGTAGGTAAAAATGCTACAGCCGCCAATGCCATGTCTACTGCAACCACCGAGGCCACTTCTACTACAACCACCAAGGCCACTTCTACTACAAGTATTAGTACTACCAAGGTCACGTCTGTTACGACAAGCAAGGAAACCACCAAAACCCAAGTCAGAATAACAAAAACCGTCAAAGGTATTGCCACCGTACCCAGCGGATGGGAGCTGAGGATGTGGGATGAGCCCGGTTGCAAAGGCAGCTACGTTGTCCTTCAAGGTCACAACGCGAAGTTGGAGGACAGTGACTGCATGAAGTTCGGCTATAAGAGTGAGCTCAGCACCAATGTTGATGACGAATCCGTATCGTGTCGTTATTGGATTATGCCAGAAAAAGGTAATTGGCAGTGGAAAGATTGTCACGGCACTAATCTGAATAAACCCAAATCGTGGAGGATGTCGAATGGTCTCTGTACCGTCTCTCCTAATACAGAATGCGATCTTTGGAACGACATTTCCCAAACCTATGGCTGGCGGGGACCAGGTCAATGTCAAGATCGCCAACAAATGGATCCTGAGACATTTGGATCATTCAAATGTTATGTTGGATAGAAAGTGTGTTGGATGTTGGATAGGTAGGATAGAATGTAATGAATTTAGGCTGCCGCGCGGCAATACGAAGTCTTAGAGCCTCAAACCTTCCATCTCTCCTATGTTTCTCTTTTCCTTTTGAACATCTTTCAAATATCTTTACTTTCTCCCATATTGAAGTCATGGGTCGCCAAGCCGATGCTGCGTCATCGTCGCACTCACTCCATTCTCTTGAGGACGCTCCACCTCCATACACCGATGAGCCCGAACCCATTCTCGCCCCTTTTCAGCCTGTCCAACCTGTCCAACCTGTCCAACCTCCCACAAGCATCCGACCCTTGCGTCTAATCGACTCAGCCTATGTTCTCTCTGGCGGCAATGTCAAACCCCACGACAAGGTCTCTCTCACCCTCGAACCATCGCTCTCGAGCGATAGCGACGAGCTCTACAATGTCATCCGTCGACAAATAAAGCTACCGCCACGACCGCTACTCTACATCCACGGCACCCACACCGAATCCAGCAATGACAAAAAAAAGGAAACAACAACAGCAGCAACACCGTCACAGACTTCCAGTTCAGACTGGATCTGGCCGAGACAATGCTGACCGGCTGGGAAGGTGGATACATGGACGTGAACTGGAGAGAAATCGAAATTCTCACAGATGACGACCTCAAACCGGCGTATCGGGGAGGAATCCTCCGCTCGCGCACGTACAAGCCGCCCAAGTCGCGTGCTGCTATCAGTCTCGGGGAAGACAGCGATGCCCTCCTAGCCCGGGATAACGCTGATAACAGCCCTGCAGAGGTGAAAGCCCTCAAGATGTGGTGCGAGCGGTTCTGCCACGACCCCGCTTCTGTGAAATCGTATGCTCTGCCCCTTCTCGCGCACAAAATACACTGCTAATCTCGATTCATCCATAAAGATTCACTGTGCATCGCGAAATCTCCGGCTTCGACTCCAACGCTATGCGTAACGTCCTCACCTCCCACATCCGCGAACTTAACTACCGCGGCTCCATAAACTTCAGCCTCTCTACCGCCCATCGCTCTGTCACAATCTACTCACCGCACTGGATCAACCGGCTCCGCACGAACCGCTTCGTTTGGTGGGTGGTCGTCATCCTCCAGCTCTGGATTATCACGTGGCCGGTTATCTTCTTCATGGAGAAGAGATACGAGGTCGTCCATACGCGCTGGAACGCGTCGCTTATACCGGAGTCGGACTCTCCCCTGGCTAAGTGCTACGCGTTTGGTCGTGATGAGTCTTCTCTGGCAGAGTACTGGGCTCCGGCTGTTAAGCAGGCGGCGTGGACGCGGCGGCATGGCGAAGGTAATCTTTTGACGAGGATGGACGCGGATCGCTTGCAGGGCTATAGTACACAGCAGCTGCTTGGTCTTCGTGCTGCTAGTTCGGATACTGAGCTAGACCGCCGACAGCGGGTTAATAGTGGTGAAGCTGGATTTGTTGATAATATTGTAGGTCTGGTGAGAGGGATTGGAGAGGTTGGGCAGGATTGGAGGCTTTCCGCTGGATGGGGTGCTAACTGTTAATTTGGGTCTATTCTGGGTTTCTTTTGCTTGTCTCGACTGTGTGGCCCGGAGAATGGGTTTTATCCGAGACTGGACCTCGTTTATAGCCCTGGGGACAGGTATAGGTGCCTAATTAAGTCATCTACGTGAAGTCCTCCAGGGCTAACGAGATGTCAGCCAATCCTTTGGGATTTTCTTTTGCCCATAACATATCCCTCGTGAACTCGATTTAGCTACTTCTACTTATGGATATTACTTACATATGGATATATGAGATCTTGAAATTCAGGGGCCTTTTGTCTTATGTAAAGTAGGGTTTACTGCCCAGGTGACACGATTGACATCGGGAAGTCCTACATCCACATAGGTTGGTTGTCGGTCTACATGTCTGTTGCTGGCTCTCGAATCATACGCAAGCAAGAAAGGGTTTCTAATAGGATTTCATTCTCATGCCGTCGGCGAGAGCAGTAGCGATATCGATGTGAACTCTGGAAGATTGAAGTCATTCTCAACATTGTTACTGCCTTGACATTGGGGTCCGGCCTTTTTCATCTTGGGATCATTGTCGCAGTCGGCTCTCGATTTCAAGTTAAATTTAGCCAAACACCACACACTGCTTTGTTCGCATAATGTAATACTCATTCATCGTGCGCTTAGCGTCGAGGATCTCCATTTGATCCACATGCTTTGCCTCGATTCTCTTTGTTCTATTGGTAAGTCACTTGGTCAACCCCCTAATTTCCTTGTTCTTCAAGTTTCTATACATACTAATTGTTTGGTCTGTTTCATCTTAATATAGATCGGATGCAAGCACTGACTTGATCATGCACCGACGTCTCTTTGGGCAGCCTTTTGTCCAGAACTATATAATATCCGCTTGGTCCAGCATCTAGCTAAGCCAGCCAAGCATATCAATTCCCAAATACCAAGATCAGAAACACTCCAGGACTTGCAAATCCACGTATATTTTCATTTGATATTTTCAACACCATGTCCGAACCTACCAAATCTACCGAATCTACTAAACCTGCCGAGCCTACCTCTTCTCCCATCAAGACTCGAATCGCCAATTTATTCCGTCGTGGTAACACTGACGGTGGAGACGATACCGACACACCTCTACGCGACCTTTTCAAGAAAAAGGACAAAAAGCGTAAAGACGACAGCGTTGGCGACAACCCAGAGGCTCCGGCCGCCAAACGTCCTGCCACTGGGCCACCGGGACTCGGGAGAGCTATACGTACATTATCGTCCAGGGCAGCAAATCAGAATCCAGCACCAGGGGATCCCAGGCCAGAAACCGAGGAAGATCCCGAGACAAGCCTCCCCACGTTACCTACCACTCCCAGAAGTGCTCGGGTGATCGCCAGTAGGATTAGTGCGAGTATGAATCCAGACCGAGTTCAGGTATCAGGCAAAACACCCACGAAGAAAATGATCTCGGAATATCAAACGAAGGGGGCTGAGTTTGAACGCTGGATGGCCAACCCGACCATGAATACGCCTCCATGTCCAGTGGTCCAGTCTACGGTAACCATGGCCGATTTAACCTGCGACATTGGCGCCAATAAGGCAGAATTTGATGTATGGCAATCTGAGTTGGTTGCGCCACCGAAGGAACTCAGAGAGAATCTTCAATCGACAAATCTTCCAAGGGATCCGACAAAGAAGACCTGGATATATTCAGTTTTACAGCGCAGTGGGCTAAACAAGGTGTCGCATTACCAGCATTACATCGTGACAGGTGCTATCGTTGCTAGCGATATTCATAGAAGGAATACGGGAACCCAGTGGGCTGACATTGCTATAGCTTTATATAAACATGCGGCCGAAATCGACACTCTCCGATATATTTACTACACAACAGTTGAGAATGAAGAGACCCTTCCACTGGTGAGAAAGGAGCTCTACCCAAGAAACAATCTTCCTAGTCCCAATAGTAAAGTTTCTCCTGCACCTGTCGAAACTTGGCAGTTTGGTGCTGCTGGATTCCGGGCAATCCTGGGATCACAACTAGGAAGAGCAACGGGGCGTCTTGTTCTAGCGGCTTGGCCACGAGGTACGCATCAGATCTCTAGAATCCATACTTGGTTTTGGAGAGATGATCTACATATGCGGTTCGATATTGAGCGTATTGTACAGAAAGACAAGGCGAGAAAGAAGCCAGGCTTATTTGATTCAACAACTACCAAAGGAAAAGGAAAAGGGAAGGGAGGAGCAGCTAAGTGAGGAGCAAAGGCTAATAAGGCTGTTCAACACCTATTGATCCAGCTGCTGCATCGGCGTGATTCCTTTTTGCGGGTTTCCAACAGATTTCAAGTACATGGGCTATGGGGATAAACTCCCTACAGATTGCTTGTCTAAATTATAAGTCCTCGATTTGCATGTTTATTGAACCGATCGTTGCCTGGGACAGAAGTTGGCTTTGTCTAACAAGTTGATATAGTTGATGTTTTGGCCAGAAATATAGTTTTTTTTATATATATAAAAAGGCTGGAGTATCTATCAATAAACACTTTTACGCAAAATCTTCAATAACTAGAGCATGTCTATATAAGCTATAAATGCACAGAGCCACTCGTAGCATCAAGACTATCAAGGCTGCGAAGAAACTATATATATATATATATATATATCCATAGGCTGAAGATATACATAATTTCGCTAATGCGAGTCATTGGGATATATAAACCAGCTTCCCTTTGAGAACCATGATTTACAAGTTTGGTTTATAACACTTCTTGAACATATGGCACTGGCTTCAAATGTTAGATAGAAATGTAGTACATAACATGCCGACGTTGATGTTTTTGGTCGTCAGTTTATTACACTGCCCCCAAGTGAGTAGTACTATTTTCTGCTTTGTGTGACAATGCCAGAGCTACAAATGCTATAGAGGACACTGACTCCGAGAAGCAATGGGGTTTCTATGACAATAATGTAAAATTTGGGTTACCAGTATATAAGAATATGAGCAGGTCAGCTCCGTTTCATTCAACACTAGGCACAGATACCAAATACTGCTATACACCAACTAGAAAGCATCTCGCCATCCCCCCATTTGCAAAGCCCAATGATCATCACAGGGTGAAAAAAATAAAGGCCAGATAAAAAAAAGATACATGCCAAGGAGAATTGAAAAAAGATATGATCAAGCCCCCTTCATAAAAAGGTAGGAGCATTACAGGAGAATGAAAGCGGCACCGAACAAAGTCGACAGAACAGTCACCATACCGACGGAAGCGGCAGCGAAACCGAACTGGGAAGGCTTGAGGCCAGGAGCAGCACCCTCGGAGCTGGTGCTGGAAGCAGCAGAGCCTCCGCTGGTGGCAGCGGAGACCTCACCGGAGCCCTGGGTGGCATCGCCAGAGGACTCGGTGCCGGCGTCTTGGCTGCCCTTACCGGAGAATCCCACACCCTTGCCGGCACCCTCCGTCAGGTACTTCTTGGCGGGGGCGGGCATGGCGGGGAGGAGAGCATCGGCGTCGACGTTCCAGTTGGGCTTCTGCTTGACGGGGCAGCCGGAGGCACCACCGGTGGCGTTGTAGCCGCCGTTACCCTTGGGGTTGTCGGTCGCCGAGAAGGAAGCCTTGAGAGCCTTGTAATCCTTGTTGGTGATGACCTCGTCACCATCGATCTTGACCAGGCCGTACTTGTTGCCGCCCTCGGTGTACTCGTAGACCAGACCGCCGGAGTAGACGGGGGTCATCTTGTCGGAGTAGAGGGCCTTAACCTCGTTGAACTCGCGGGTGTTGGTGTTGCAGCCGTACTCGGAGAGGAAGAGGGGGAGTCCGTAGCCGGTGAAGTTCTTCACCTTCTGGTCCCAGCCGGAGGTGGTGAAGGAGGAGGGATCGCACCAGGAGTAGTCGTTGAAGGCGAAGAAGTCGGAGCGCTCGTCGTCGGTACCGCAGTTCATGTACTCGGCCATCTCGAGACGGTTGGTGTTGACATCAGCGGCGGAGTATCCGACGGGGACGTGGCGGAGCTTGCGAGAGCGGAGGTAAGTGCGCATGTCACGGGTGACGGCCTTGACGTAAGGAGCGGCCGCAGAGGATGGGCCGTCATCGACGACCTCGTTACCGGAGAAGAAGGCCAGGGTATTATCGTACTTGGCGAACTTCTCCATGGTGGCGAAGATGTACTGGAGGTAGACGTCGTTGTAGGACTTCTTGGGCTTGTCACGGTTGATGGAGTACTTGGGGGTGTTGACATCGAGAACGAGGTAGATGCCGGCCTCGGCGAGGGCCTCCATGCACTCGTCGTGGTCCTTGGAGTTATCGACGGAGTAGACACGGATGGTGTTCAGGCCCAATTCCTTGAAGTTCTTGATGTCACGCTTGCAACCATCGGCATCAGCGATGGGATCGCCGAGGTCGGAAGAACCACCGGGCTGGTAGTCGACACCGCGCATGTAGAAACGATCCTCGCCCTTGAAGAAGGCGTTACCCTTGACAGTGATGGGGGTGATATCACTGCCACGGGCCTTGATGGTTGCGGCACCGAGGACGGTTGAGGCGCCCAAGGTGATGGCCGTGGCCATGGAGGCAACTGTGGCCTTCATAATGTGAGAATAAGTGGGGAAAAAGAGCGAAACTTGATATAAACGAGAGTGGGAAAAATAGAAGCGCTCCGAGGATTAAAAGAGTGAATGACAGACTGAGAAACGAAAGTGAGGTCAGAAAGAATGAAAAGGAAGAGAAGAAAAAGGCAAGGGATGAAAGGAGTTATGAGGCCAAGACCTCCCCCCGAGCGGCAAATGGGCTGTGTTACTGCCAAGGGTCCTATGTACAGTGGCTCTTTGCTTTGTCCTGATCAGCAAGGGTCAGATTACAGTGGACTTTTTATGTGGAGACGACCCTGAATAAGGGTTGTTAATAGGTTACTTTGGATTATTTATTTATTTTTTCTCTTGGATCGTCAGGTCCTATCCTAACATCTGATGATATAGGTATATACAAATGCATTCCAATTATATCTGTGTATCATATCAAATGTATTTATCTTCTAATTCCACTGCATAACTATTTACATATCCAACTTGATTTATTCTTGCTGCCTCCATAAAACCGCGAGTGGAGAGCCCTAGCTTGGCGATGACGCACCTCCATCTGGGCAAGTCGATCGCACTTCAGGGGTCTTGGGACGCTAACAGTGCAGACATTACAAGGGTCTAAGGGGTCAAACTATAGGGGTCAAAGGTCAAATGCTCTCAAATTCTAGATTCCCAATCAAAGAATCAAGTCAATATTTTACTTTTTTTATTCGCTAAAACACTTGTCTCGGCGCCACGATACCCACCTGAGCGCCATGGACACTCATTTCCAAACGGTCTATACATAGACCTGAGACACTTGCATAATGACTGTGCATCAAAATGATCTATTATTTCTTTACGTTTCGAATGTAAAAGTACATTCTGATATTGTATAATCCTAACATAATCCTATTAACATAACTTCAAATGATTCTCTAGACTTAGATATTGGCCCATATTCTAAAGTTCAGAATGTCTCACTAATTCCATCTTGTCGGCTATAACGTCCACCCACAAAGTTGATATACCCCAGACTCGATATGGACAATCCCCAAATGCCCCTGAAAAACCTTCCGACTATAAATATTCGGCCAAGACAACCAACATCGGAAGTGAAAATATAGCGGTCGCCTATTCTCTCAGCCCAAGGTTTAGTCCACCTTGACGCCCAAAATATTCTACACTCCTCAATGTCATTGCCACGCAGAGATGGTGAGACAAGTTTACTCACAACCTTGGAGGGTTACTCAAATGCTCAAGCCTCCAAGCTCACCGTGTTATTCCCGCCAAGAACCGCCAAGTCGTGACCGGAAAACGGAACATCACGTGTCTAGATTTATTTACACAATTGGAGCTATGTACGGAGTACTCCGTGTTCCGTATTCCGTACCTACATACCCAAATGTTTAAGCAGTGCGACGCTTCTTCAATTTATCAGTCCCATGCACCCAATCCAACAACCCCAACGACCCATAATTCAAATTGAACTTCTCATGATGAAGATCATGCATCTTAGCCTTGTGACAAAAGAAATCATACCCACTATGAACCGTCGCCGTATTCATCAGCTCATAAGCCAAGAACACCCAAAAAGTCACAACATGACTCCCCAACAACTGCGGCGGCAGAGAGATAGGCAACGTATTAGCGAAGATATGCTCAATCGGATGGGCGAATTGAGCAGCCAGCGCGATCGGAGCAGTGAATCGGTGATGTTTCTTATGGATGGGGATGTAGAGGGCGGGTATATGCAGGAGTCGGTGGCTGTAGTAGAATAGAGCTTCGCGAATCAACAAGCTGAAGAAGACGTCGCGGAGGATCTCGACCGGCGCTGGTAGGGAGGTCTCGATGCGATAGGTAGATTTAATGCCAGCATGGCTGGCTGCGAACAGCAATGTCAGATGCAGGACAGACGATAGGATCTGGTTCTGTAGCACGACTAGAAAGCAGCGCACAATCTCGCGACGGTTCGGCTGTTTGGGTGCTGGTTGGATTTTGTGGCGCTGGGAGAAAGATGGCGCTAGCACGTCGAGGAGCATATAGCATATTGATGGTAGCCAGAAGGTGAGGAATTGGGCGAGAAGTGTGCCCACAAACTCGATTTTCTGGGGCGAGTAAGTGGCCACGATGTGAGCCCAGTACGCTGTGGCTTGGGGTAGGACCTGATCCAGGATGCTTTTCGGGATCTCCATGGTTGCGCATGTAAAGTGTTTGTCCAAGAACTGGCAGGATCTGGGGTTGATGTTAAATGTGAATTCTTTACCTCCGTATATACCCCTGCCTCGGTTAGTTCCCCAGACCCTTTCCCCCGCAGCGGGCGATCGTTTTGCTCGCCATGTGAGAAAGCTTAAAGCCCGGGTATCTGTAACTTATGATCGCCTATTGAACTAGATCAAAGGCACATGAAGAAGTTTGTCCGCTAAGCGAAATGAAAACATAGACGATTTGAAAGAGGAAGGAGCGAAGCTGTGAGCGGCCCGAGCGTGACCCGGTACAACAATGCGTGAACATACACCCCGAAACAGGAGAACTGGAACCCTCTAAGGTTGGCATCGCGTTTTATGCTCAGTCTTTGATATAAAATATCAGAGTACGCATCGCTTGTTCCCGAGAGCCTCAGAGGACCACCTCGATATCCGACTAATCCATAAAGATGCTTAACTACCTAGAACATAGCCTGAGGGCTCTTCGCCAACGTCAAAGACCACGATTCTAAGCTCCTCACCAAAGCCACAGCCACAGCCACAGCGAATCGAGTATCAAGGAGGGGCCTGTACGGCTCGCGGCTAGACGTCCGGTGGTAGAGCACCCAGCAGAAGGTGTAGACCGATTCCCAACGCCAAGTTGGCCGCCTACATTGCCTGAGACAAGGCAGTATCATTTCGTCAGGGCCAATCCAGATACACCTCTGCCTATGAAAATTATTCGTGGGGTCTAATATGAAATTCCCTCGACAGCGACGGGCTTGACTGAGACAGGTCTTGACATTGCCGCGGAACTGGGTGCTCTAGAGGGTGGTTTTCGATATGGAAAGAACCGTCAAGGAGACTGTTTATATCCAGCCTAAGATGTTCCTTTTCCATGGGCCATATCGGTACTTTTTCACGCTTGTTACTTTCATCCAGTCTATCGATGGTAGCGGGACAGGATGTGTTCATGCGTACGGACTACGGATCTTGCGAGATATAGAGGGCAAGGGTCCTGGGGATAGATTGGGATTTATGAGAGAAAATACGATTGATTTTCATTTCGGGATTTGGTGTTGGCTTGCTAGGGTAGTTCCAGGTTTTGATGTGGATTCATCCTCTTAGTGCTATCACATGCTTCTATGAGTGAAGCTACGGGTATATCTAACCAATCCGGATAGGAATAATGCAATGATAATCAACTATCTGTGCTGTGATATGAATGGCTTTGCATTCTGTGGTCTATATCTATATACAACATAGAGCATGTCAATACGAGAATTGTCATTGTCAAAGATATAGAACGCCTGATATTGAGGACATTCAACCATGTGAGCATAGCGTGTGATATCTGCAGCGTGATAGACTTAGCAAGCTTAGCTCGTTCGATAGTATAGCAATGCATGTTTCACCCTATGTGGACTTGCTATAATTGTGGAGAGAACCGGTCTAACGCGGTACGGTGTAGTTCCTGCTACAACGGTCCAGGTTAGTTGAAGTTGAATTTAAACGCTCAGCCCAAGAGATGGAAAAATAGCTGGTCGCCTAAAGAGCCAACAATCCAAGGCCGTATACGACTTATCCGATTACCTACTTGGATACGAGGTACCTCGTTGGTCGGGTATCTGTTACCATAATCAAGGTCATCCCATTGGCCATGGCCTTGCAGCCGGTTACCCATGCCATCCCAACAAATGCAGCTATAATTTCAAGATTGACTAGAAAACCCTCTCTACCCCACTCGCTCAAACAGGGAAGTAAGTATACATGTCAAATTCGGACATAATTCGCCTAAATACTACACAGACCTGGACGACGAACAATCTCCTAACAAATATATGGAAGATAATTGGCTTGTAAAACCAGCTCACCAAGCTCTCATAATGGCCTGTCACTCTGTATCATCGAGGGAAAAAAGTACACGCCACCGATCAATCCGTACGATGAGGCACTTTTACCCCTGTAAAGTGACAGCTCACACACTGACAGGCAGGAACCTGCATAGCCAAGTTTTATTCCGACTTTCCGAGTTCGCTAAAATATAGACTAAACTAAAATACTCCGTCGACTTACATATATCATACAAGGGATACTATCAGGGTTTATTAGCTCGATGGGAGGTCGGGGGCTACTTATAAATCGTGGTCATGGACCAGGTAGAAAGATTCTGCAAGAATTTGATTAGCCGTAGGGCATTTTTTTGGGATTGACAGGATGGTTGGTTTTTATCAGTCTTTCTTGGTCATTACCCTGGGGATTTTGGTTTCGGCAGCCGACTTCTCTTCAGTTGATATCGACTTCTCCTTTGCCAAGCAGTGTGGAAAGCGCAATACTGCTGTGCGGAAGGAATGGTGTGTGTTTCTTGGTTTTCTGGGGCCAATTGAGAACTGACATTGTATAGGGGAGAGTTGAAGAAAGGGGAGCGGATCGATTATATCGATGCGGTATTGTGTATGCAACGGCAGCCTCAGCATCTTCCAAGAGACAAGTACCCGGGAGTGCAGAACCGCTTTGACGATTTTGTGGCGTAGGTTCCCTACAGCCTCATTATGGATGCTAGGGATTGAGTACTCACATACCATACAGTACCCATATCAACTACACACTCAATGTCCATCTTAGTGGTCTATTCCTCCCGTGGCACCGTCACTTCATCTGGCTCTGGGAGACAGCCCTGCGCGACGAGTGTGGTTACACTGGCCATCTCCCGTAAGTACCATCAACCACAACCCCCCGAAACCATAATAACACAAACCAGATACTGGAACTGGCCATTATGGTCCGAGAATCTAAAAGCCAGCCCACTGTTCGACTGCAGCGACAGCTCCCTCTCCGGCGACGGCGAATACAACCCGGAAGAAGAAAGCATCTCAGGCGGCGCCGTAACTCTCCCACGCGGATCAGGTGGTGGCTGTGTCCGATGTGGACCATTCAAAGACATGAAAGTCCATATGGGCCCATTTGATCGCAATATCGCCTCATTCACCAAACTCCCCGCCCCAGGCTTCGACTACAACCCGCGCTGCTTTAATCGCAGTCTGAACAATTTCGTCAGTAGCAACTACGATAACGTGACCATCGTCGACAGACTCCTGGCCGCGACCAATATTTCCGATTTCCAAGTCGTCATGGATTACTGGCCCGCACGACCGGACGGGGTTCTGGGCGTTCATGGCGGCGGACATTTCAGCCTCGGAGCCACCCTCCAAGATTTGTTCGCGTCGCCGCAGGACCCGGCTTTTATGCTCCACCACGGTATGATCGATCGGTTGTGGAGTATTTGGCAAGCGAAGGATGAGAATAATCGGTTTGCGCTTAATGGGACGAATAGGATTACTAATCCACCCGATGCGAGGATTGTTACGTTAGATATGATGATGGAGTTTGGTGTGCTCGATCGGTCTCGGTCGGTCGGTGAGGTTATGGATCCGACTAGATACTATTGTTATTCGTATAGTTGATGTGCCGAGGTTGGATAAACTCCTAAGTCACACCGGGAGATTCAAGTTTAATGAGAACCATGGAAGGTCCAGGGGAGCTTGAAATGCCCCTTTTGAAATTTCCTGATGGAGTAAAAAGGAAATAGTGCATAATAGTGCATGACAACACGACTTTGTTTACTATTGTTAGCGCTGAGACCAGGCCAATAATGGTGGAGCACCGTACTTTTTTTCGTGTTATTCGTGTTATTCGTGTCACAGTTTCCTCCAATTGATAACGTAGGTACGTAGGTACTCCATATGGAGGCTGACATAAATATAGCAGTTCGTCTCGGTATCCATCAAGCGTTTTCTTTGGGCCGATCCGAGACATTTGATAGGTCTGGCCGTGAAAAATCAGCCACGCCGAAGATATTCTCGGGTTTATCTTCACTAGTGTGAAAAATCAAGAAATACATATCCAAGAAAAGAAAAAAGTGAAAAAAACATTTAGATACTTGCCACTTGAGTGTGGCTCCTTCTGTTTGTTTCTTTACTTTCTGTTTTCTAATCTTCCCTTCTCCTCACCTTTGTTCCTCTTACTCCCATCTCCCCCATCTCCTTATCAGACTATCTTCAGCCTCTCATAATGTTGCGTATCAGCCTTCTTCAATTGCTTTTTGTCACACTGATCGCTCTGTCTGCGGTCTTCGCAGTAGACGTCAAGGAGACACATCGTGAGTCTCTCCAAGAAGCCCTCACCGACATCAAGGCAGTCTCGCTCCATGATGCTCTGCATACTCTTTCCGCCAAATTCCGTCATGGTATATTCCCGACTGACCTTCATGCCGCCGAAGCCCTGCAAAGTGAAGAGCCCGCCATTGCAAGCCTGATCAAGCTCGCCAAGCGTCAGAGCAATGCCACTTCCAGCCCTGAGACAACCCCGGCTCCGGTTCCTTCTGTGACTACTTCCAGCACCGAATCAGCCACTGAGCCGTCTACCACTTCAGCACCTGAGACTAGTGAGACCAGCTCGGCCTCTCCCACTGAGCCCACTACCAACGTGCAGCCAACCACAACCTCGGCCAGCTCTACCAGCTCTACCAGCTCTACCAGCTCTACCAGCTCTACCAGCTCTACCAGCTCTGCTAGCTCCACCAGCTCCACCAGCTCTGCATCGGTCCCCAGCGAGACCTCCACGGTCACAACCCAGACCACTGCGAAGCCCACCACTTCCACTACTCAGTCGACCACGGCGTCCTCGACTACCGAAACCACTCACTCGACGACCACTGTGCCTTCAACTCTGTCAACTACCAAGAGCACTTCATCCACCTCGTCGACCACTCACTCAACTACTGCCCAAACCACTGAGCACACCACCGAGCACACCAGCTTGAGCACTTCTACCTTCAAGAGCACTACCACCATGCCCGACGGCACCCTGAGCACCATCACCTCCATCACTGTCATCACCCCAGAGGCAACTGGCAAAGCCACCGGCACCGTCGCTGGCAAGCCTGGTCTGCAGACCAATGCCGCCGCAGTGGCTACTGGCATGGCTCGTGAGGTTGTCGCCATGTTTGGTGGCGCCGTCGTGGTCGCAATGGCTCTGTAATGGATTGATTTTGTCTTTATTGCCTGCTTGCATCTTTATTTCGAACGGCGTTTTCTAGCACTTCGCATCGGCTCTGCATCTTCATGACTATTGTCATTGTACTATCTTTTCGCATGACCCGTGACGACCTACTCATGTCTCTCCTTATTTCTTGGGCGTTCGATGGCGGGAATCAGTGCCGAATCTGGCCTTTACAGACGGTTTTATCAGCGAGGTCATTTACAGCGCTTTGCACACGCTATGCTTTCATGTGATTACTTTTAGTCCATGTTTTAATCTTCGTTTTGAAGATAATTAAAATTGTGCTCATTATCAAATTCATTAGCTCATTAGCTCTTTGGTTGTATGGATTCATTGATTCGTATCTAAAGTAGATTCAAAGTATGCAGGATGATAGGGCATTTACAGTAGGTTTAAGGTATGTAAAATGATCGGAATGCTAGAAATTGTGCTCAATTATCAAACTCATTGGCTCATGGACATAAAGATTCATTGATTCGTATGTAGAGTAGGTGCAGGGTATCCGAGAAGATCGGAAAGTGCATAGCGGTATTGTATGTGTGGTCGATGGTCTCTAACGAGCCTCGAATGTCTTAGCTGGTTCAGAGAAACCATCATCACCGTCCAGCATTCCGACCTTCCTCCCACCGTTGCTCCTCAGTCAAGTAACGGACAACACTCTCATAACCAGCTAAATCCCCTTGGCGCAATAGAACTGCGACGTCAACATTCAGCGGCGAATCCGGATTCGGGTCCTTCAACAGCCACTGAATAGACGCGAGTGTGGTCTTGAGAGTTTCAGTCGGAGTCCAGTGCTCATCCTCATCCAAGAGAGACAAACAGATCTTGCCCGTTTCGAAGTGGATATTAGGGTGCACGATCTTGGTCGTGAAGAGGATGGTCGGCGGCGCATTAGGGTACTTGGGCGGAACTGTAATACTAAGGTGCCACAGTCCACCTGTTGTCGCGTTAGGTTGACTGCAATGGTCCCTCGAGGGGAGTTGGACTTCATGAACTTACCCTCGTATGGTGATCCATCTGGGCCCTTCAATACAGCTTCCCATCGTAGTATGTCGTCTTCATCAACGGGACGGAGGTACAGGAATGTTTCATTCTCCCCTTCCTTCCTGTATTTTTTGAACTCTGTCATGAGCCGCCTTGACGCGGTAAGAGATGAGGACTGGGACGCCATGTGGAATATTATAGACTGTGTAAATTAGATAGTTGTTTGGCGTGGTGCGCTTTCAAGAAGTTGGGAAAGTCGGTCGGGACTGTGATCGCCGAGGCTGAAGACCTCGGGATGTTCTGCCCGGCCCACCCATGGATCGATCATCCGGGGATTCTCACGTGAAATTGCTTCCCGACTTTCTCGCCTCAATTCCTTTCCTGTCTTCTGTTAAGTCTCTGTGACCTCGCTATGCGCACTTCTCGCACTTCCAGGGACACTGCGAAGGTCCTGCAGGCCCTCTCGCCCCCTATCCAACGACAAACGCGCAACTCCACTGCGAGCGCGTTGAAAAGTTTCGCGTACAACCCAAACGCGACTGCGACTGCGACTATCAAGACAGAGCCAGGGCATGTTTCAGTAATACCCAGTTTGTCTGCCGTGAAAAGCGAAGATGAATCCTCTCTATCTGAGCTCTCCGAGGCCGACACAGCGGACATCGAAGACCTCCTTGAACCACCATCGAAGCGCCAAAAACGCAACGCGAACCCCATAAACCCACGAGTCCTCAAGCAGAGTGCAAGTCCTCGCACACCCCGAAAAGTCATAATCAAGGAGGATCCCGACCAGAAATCCACACCGCCACCAAAGCAAAGACGACTCCCTGCCCGCAAAACCCGCGACATTGACGGCTTGGTCAAGGTCGAGCCCCCGTCCAACTGGGAGGAGATGTATGAAACTGTGAAAAAGATGAGGGCAGCCAATCCGACTGCACCGGTAGACACAATGGGCTGCTCGGAGCTGTACTGGCGCGCGTCATCACCAACAGACCGTCGATTCCAAACTCTCATCGCATTGATGCTCTCATCTCAGACAAAAGACACAGTCACGGCGGTAGCGATGCAGCGCCTTCACACCGAGCTCGGAGATGGCACAGCTCCAGATCAAGACATCAAAATCAAACAAGAGATCAAACAAGAAATCAAACAAGAAGACGACGATTCGAAACCCACTGACAGCACCCTCAACCTAACCAACATCCTAGCCGTGGACCCAACGCGACTAAACGAACTAATCCGCACAGTCGGCTTCCACAACAACAAAACAAAATACATCAAAGCCACAGCGCTGATCCTGCGAGACCAGCACGGTGGCGATATCCCCTCGACCCCAGAGGAACTCATGGCACTCCCAGGTGTCGGACCCAAAATGGCCTACCTCTGTCTGAGCGCCGCATGGGGTAAACACCTTGGGATCGGTGTCGATGTGCATGTCCACCGTATCACCAATCTCTGGGGTTGGAATAAGACTAAGACGCCTGAGGAAACGAGGAAGTCGTTGCAGTCGTGGTTGCCGCTCGATAAGTGGCATGAGATTAATAAGTTGCTTGTTGGCCTCGGGCAGACGGTTTGTTTGCCTGTTAAGCGTCGCTGTGGGGATTGTGATCTGGCTGGCACGCGGCTTTGCAAGAGTGAGATTCGGGGGCTTGAACCTACGGTTCTGAGGGTTAAGAAGAGTCCTGAACTTGATGAGCCAAAGGTCAAGATTGAGGCTATTTGATTTGGACTGGGCTGCTTGTGGTATACTAGTTCAATTTATACAGTCTGTTCTTCTCTGGATGGAAGAGCGTGGCGCCTTGCTTGATACGAGTTTTCTTATAATGGTCTGATATTATTATCCTTCGTCGAAGAAACCCCAACCTCTGAACTATGGCTTCGGGGCGAACTTTCACATGGCGCACGGTGGAAACACCGCTAATCGTTTTTTGATGAGACATTTCAAGAATTTTTCCAGGGTTGTTTGGAAGGCTATGGCCATTTGGGCGGCCATGTTGTGTTCCTGAATCGTCGTTGGCGCTGTTGGCCCTAGGCACAATTCTCGGCGCTTCGCTGTCGCCTATCACATGTCATCAATAACCAAAAGATGAGTGAGATGTGTTCATCAACCAACTCCCGGGCTTAGGACGGGGCTGAGCAAGGACCCAATCTCGTCCTCTCCGACTTAAAGAGCTATAGGGTCCGTAGAGGGTCTACACAGAGGAGTAACATATCAAGAAACAGTGGCTATCTTTCGCGGAAGCCACATAGAAAATGCCATCTCTATCAATTAAGCCATTTCCTCTTCTTCCTAACACTATGTAAAATCTCCACCCCACCTCCAGAATGGCAAGCAACTTTCCACCACTGGTTGTGCCTCTGTTTCAACGCTTCGGTTGTCGAATGTACGTATATCGCTATATCACAGCCCACCATTCTTTGACCCTGATCTTTGCATTGAGCCCACGTCAAACGCTTCTCCAGTAATTATTGTGACGCCTGGTGAGGTATGAGATCGGGTTATCGTTTGACAGGGTTAAGAACAATACATGACCCGTGGAGCAGCCAATTGCCACTGTTGTTGTTTCATGTTTAGCGAAGAAAGACAAACAGCGTGGCTGATACTCTGAAGGTATCCGCAGAATATTTTCTCCTCCAAAGGTTATCCAGGTGCGATCATTGTTGGAGCCGTAGACTCCTTGCTCTGGCTGAGGGGGCACATGTTCAAGTGAGGTCGGAAGAAGGGCAGATGACCTCAAATCAAACACACCAACATCGGTATGCAGATGATGCATATTCACCTCATCAAAGCGAAGACCATGAAGAGATCTGACCTCAAGAGTTGACGCACACCTTTCTGTGGCGAGATCCCAAATCCTGATTGTCCCATCATTTGACCCTGATGCGAGTTTGCTTCCGTCCCCGGACCAGGAAATTGACGAGACTGAGTCCATATGTCCCTCGAGGGTCGATATACACCACCCGTTGGATAGGTTCCAGGTCCTGATTCTCCCATCACTTGATCCTGATGCGAGCTGGCTTCCATCCCCAGACCAGGAAATTGTCAAGACCCTGTCATCGATATGCCCCCAGAGTGTCAATATACACCGTCCAGTAACTGTGTCCCAAATTCTGATATTATAACCATCTGACACTGAGGCGACTCGGCTTCCATCCCGAGACCAGACAAAAGATGAAAGTATTTCACTATGTCCCTCCAGAGTCGATATACCCCGACCAGTGTCTGGGTTCCAGATCATGACTATCCCATCACCTGCTGCTGATGCAAGCCGGCTTCCGTCTTGAGACCAGGCAACAAATGAGACTGGGTACTCATGCCGCTTCAGTGTTGATATGCCCTGCTTAGTCGCCGGATCCCAGATCCTAATTGTTTTATCATCTGACCCTGATGCGAGCTGGCTTCCATCCCGGGACCACTCTATCGATGAAATTGAAGAGTTATGTCCCTGAAGAGTCCCTATACGTTGTCCGGTGTTTGGGTTCCAGATCATGACTCTTCCATCACCTGACCCCGATGCGAGCCGGTTTCCATCCGAAGACCAGGCAATCGACAAAATTGAGGTTCTGTGTCCCCCAAGTGTGAATGTGCACCGCCCAGTTGCTAGGTCCCAGATCTTAATCGTTTTCTCCAGGATTGATCCTGACGCGAGGTACTTGTTATCCCGAGACCAAGCAGTTGATAAGATTGAGCTGCTATGCCCACTGAGTGTCGATATGCACCGCTTGGTCCATAGGTCCCAGATCTTGATGGTCTTATCGATTGACCCTGATGCTAGCCATCTTCCATCTTGGGACCATGTAATCGATGTGATCCACTGGCTATGTCCTTTGAAGGTTGATACACACCGCCTAGCATCCAGGTTCCAGATTTTGATAGTGTTATCATACGTTGCTGATGCGAGCCGACTTCTATCTCGCGAAGACACAATCGATGTTTCACTGTCCCTGTACCCTTCGATAGTGGATGTCGATATACACTGCCCGATTGCTGGGTCCCAGATCCTGACGGTCTCATCATCTGAGACTGAGGCAAGCCAGCTTCCATCTTGGGACCACTTAATCGATGTGACGCAATCGCTATGTCCTTTGAGGGTCGATATACACCGCCCAGCGACCGGGTCCCAGATTCTGATAGTGTGATCGTTGGACCCTGATGCAAGCCACCTTCCATCTTGGGACCACGCAATGGATCTGACTTTCTCGCTATGCCCTTCGAGGATCTGAAGGCATGGACTCCAATCATCCTCCATCACTGGCTCCCGTAGAACCCAATATGGTATCACCGACTGATAACAAGATTTGATCATACTCCGGGCAGGGGTGAAGATGAGCGATGAGGTGTAGACTTGTAGGGGGCTGCACTCGATTGCTAGCCTGTGGTACTGGATGAATCGACAAGCATCTCGGACTAGCTCTGCAAGCTTTTTTATGTTGTTCAATTTCTATGACAGTGCTTTATGGTTAGTAATGCACATTAATAATAGCAGAAGTGGGCACTCACACGGAGAAACCTGTCAAGCTTGACCATAACGGTTATCCCTTCTGAGATATGTCTCATGAGACTAATGGCTTCGAGCCAGAAAAGATATAGTTCTTTCAGGAAGTCCTCAACTGGCCCACCTTTCCGGAGATCATCAATCGCATTGCCGCGCACATAGCCATCTTGGAGGTGATCAACCCAGTAGATACATGAGTACCGAACGGCTGCCAATGGATCTGGATCAGGTTGTCTGACTTGATCGATGGGAAACCCGGGTGATTTGAGGACATATATATCACGCCGTAGTGTCTTGAAAGATTGCAAAGAGCGAAAGAAAATTGTATGATGCTCGGCTTGAATCCCTCGCGGGAATATCTCCTTTGATGCCGACTGGAGGAGAAAGTCTTTTGCAGATTGATGCACAAAGAAAATAACACCTTCTCGGATTGTAAGAAATGAGCCACATGCCCCCACAATTTCGGCTGAATATTGTTCGTCAGTGGTGATAGCTTCGGGAATATCGACCAAAGCGAGTAACTCGTCTAGCGTGATAGGTCGATATACAAGTAGAACGACACCTAGAATTCGTTTGCAAAGCTCTGCATCTGCTGGATCGTGATCGTGAATTCGCTTAATCATCTGAGTGTAAAGGGATTCGAGGCCCGGTGGAAATGCAATCAGCAGCGAACGAGCGTTCCCCTTCCATCGTGCTGCCTTAGCAAGTTCCTGGCAGACCAAGGCCACCCAGAGGAAGGTACCATGTGCGTTTGAAAATAGGTGTTGGGAAACAGCATCGCTTGTTTCAACTGTATACTTCTTTTGTTTCGTCAATTCCCAAACTTTGTGTCGAATAAAGTTGGTTACGGCCTCGGACACGGACTTTTCGTTCAACTCCAGCGATAGCATTGCTTTTTGGGTCGCAAGCTCAAGAGTCTCTTCTATGTCTGGCAAGCTACGACTTGAGACAAGCCATTTGACACGTGTGCACACTGAAGATTTCTGGGCGACAAGGTCAAGAAGAAGGTCCCGATCCTTTATACATTCATCGAGAGCATCAATGATCACACAAGTGCTCTGTAGGTCTGGATCCTCGAGGATATCACTGAAGATGTTTGACAAAGTTTCCCATGCATTAGCATCTTCATACCCTTGTTTCCCAGTCTTGTCGTGCTGCCTTCGTACATGGGAGATGAGGTTAGGCTGCTCGTCAACTAGCATATAGATCAGGCCGCGAAGGACTGCGGTCGCGTGGTTTATTCGTGCATCCGTGGCCTGACAGAAAAAGAAGACGACATAAGCTTTAGATAATGACTTCAGCTCGTTGACGATTCCACACAAAAGCATAGTTTTGCCCTTTCCGGGATCCCCTTTGATCCAGAGCAGCTGACTTCGTTGCTCATAGCGCCATTTTTTGAAGTCATCATTTTCAAAAATCCAGCGATAGGAATTCTCAAGTAGTCTGCCCTTGACCCTTTCGATACGTCTCTTCTCGATACGAGGATCTGTCGTGTATAGATCCCGTAGACAGGCTCTGTCCTTGGGATTTATTGTGTATTGCTTTCTTTTTTTATCTTTGAATTGATTTTAGCTAGGTAAATTTCCGTATGAGTGTTATGCTAACCATCCTTACCAACTTCCGATACCCATCTGCTAAGTTCCCCGAACACCCTCTTGAAACCATTATCTTCCGCCGTTGCAAATTTGACCATGTTTCGGTGATCAGCGTGAATACTTCGGGACAGATAACCATCAAAAGTAGCAGATTCTCTTGAGACGATAAGTGCTCCAATCTTGTCGGTGGGAAGCTCTTCAAAGAAGCAGGTGATCCCAAGGCCCGGTTTATCATCCCGTACTTGGCGAATCATCGCCATAAATTGACTCTGAATTGACTGGACGAGCTCGTTGTCCCTCTCGAGGACATCTAGCAACTTGACGTTGGTAGACTTGACGAAACCCAACGCAGCGGCAGGGATCTTGGCCCAGTTCGCCATCCAAGCTCCCTTGTGGGGTGTTCCCATGAATATCACACCTTTGAGAGCATCAAATATATCCTGAAAGTGTGTATCAGGGTTATTTCGCGACATTAGGATAGCCTGCTTGCAGACCAGCCCACCAAGGCTATGTGCAACAAAAATGAGTGGGCGGGAAGATGCATTACAGCATTGTCGGTCCGTTGTTAAATCGGCTAGGAGATTTGCGGCGTGATCCGACAACCGATTGGACGAGGCGGTTGATTTGGACACCACGTATGCATCGTAGCCGTATGTCAGAATGCGAGCTTGTTGTAGCTTCTGTGGAAGCAGTGTTTTCGGCCAGGGCGTGGATTGGCCCTTGGCGGTCCAGGTCTTCTCTCGATCGCCCGTCAGACCGTGAATGAAACAGATATCACACGTAGCATTAGGTGGGTCGCTCCAAACTTTGACACCATCTATGAAGTGGGAAGCCGGGGGGATTCAGGTAAAACGGGGTTGTTTTGGTAAGGTACAAGGATGTTCTGCCCTCTTTCTCCTTCCACTTGGAAAGCAGTATGCTGGTGTAGAAAAGATTGGAACATTTAGCCAAAACAGCCTTTCTGGGGTACTGCAAAACTTTTCCTGTGTCACAATAATAATGGGATGTAGTACAGACATGGCCCCTTTAAGTATCACATTGGACTAAACGAGAAAGATGTAGCCGCCAGCAACGTGTCACTGCATGGGCGCTTATTGCTCGAGCGAATGGAAAGTGGCATCCTGGTGGTCAGACACTAGGTTTCCAGTTGATCCTATTCGTCTAAAATCGGTAATGATATATGAGCGCCACGGCTGAAACATCTAACCGTTTTATGTTAGCACTGAAAGTACCGCCTTCCTAATATTTTCCACCATCGTTATTCTGCCACGTGGTAAACTTTCTGCTAAATATTTCTGCCCACTTCATTGATTCTGGTTTACATAGTAAAACACCTGGGTATTGGTCATAAGATCTCGTGCCTGTTTCCTAATTCTACATTAATATATTACACATAAAATCAAGTATTTTTTTATTTTTCATAGGTTTCGTTATCCTGTCCCAGACTAGGATAGTAGTTTCATCAACTAGGACAGAATGGCGGTGTCAAAAGCGGTAGGTAAATTTAGGTGTCACGGCAGAAACTCGACCAAAATAGGAAAGTAAGCCTGAATTTTCATACAGGGGGAAGGATTATGCATCTAATAATACGAGACTCTTATATATCAACCTGAAAGACCCCGAAAGTGATTAATCAATCAAGCCGGTTTTACCAGGTATATCTACTCGAACGGAGCATCCGTCTAATAATGCAAGGTAGCACGCATCGCGGTTTGATGGCTCGGAGATGTCGATATGCGGAAGGTGAACTGCAGAATACCGAGGACTGGACATGCCGGAAGCTGATCTACATCTTTTTAAGGGTCATAGGAAATATCTTGAAGGCAAAGGTTCGTATTCACGTGCTTGTAAACCATTGGAATATAGTAGTATTGAAGAGCGTGTAAATCTCCAGCCAATAAAATCATCCCGAGCTCGGACATAAGCGACTGAAGCTTCTTTATCGCCGGTCCCTCGAAAGCTCAACCCGTGCAAGTCGTCAATCAGCACCACAACCCAGCACCCCCAACTATCTACGGGAGCACGCATTTTGTTTCTCTCCAAAACCCCCAACTCCGACCTCCACACATTCCACGCCGCCCAAAACCCACTCCCAAAATGCCCCCTCCAACCCCAATCCCAATCCCCCTCTTCGCCGCAACCCAACTCAATCTCCTCCACGAAGAACACGCCGCCGAAGTCTCCTCGTCAAAACTTGCTAGCACAGCCGCAACAGTCTCCCCCTTAACCCGCCGAACCCTCCAGGCAACCGGCTACGCCCTAACAGGCATCATCCTCTCACAATGCCGAACCGGTCTCGGCGGACGCGTCGTCGGCGAATTCGCACCAGATCCGGCAGTCGCATCAGATGAGTCCCGGGCTGCAGATGGGACGCCTCGGCTTGGGTCGCATGGGATCCGCGTCGGAGATGTTGTGCGTGTTAGTGACGTTGCGGGGCCAGGGAAAAAGGTTGGCGGGAAAGATAAGGAGAAGGATAAAGATGCGGAGAAGGGCGGTCCCGAGGGCGTTGTTACGCGTACTGGTGATCGCGCTGTGTGGATTGCGTTTGGGCGGCAGGGTGGTGGGGGGATGTCTAAGGAGGATGATGAGGCTGTCGAGGAGCTTTGGGGGAAGAAGTTGTGGGCAATTAAGCTTGCTAATGATGTTACATATAGAAGGTATGTTGGTTGGGTTATTGGATTTGGGATTGCTGTATGGTTGCTGACTTTGTGCTAGGATGAGACAGACTATGGAGAAGATGGAGAAGATGGCAGAGACTGAGTGTTCGCATTTCATGCGTGTTGCGTTTGGACATACGACGCCGCTACAACTGGATACTGAGGCGTGTGGACCTGTCGAGTTTACGGATCCCACGCTCAACGATTCGCAGAAGGATGCTATTCGGTTTGCGCTGGCTTCGCGGGATATTGCTTTGATTCATGGCCCGCCCGGGACGGGAAAGACACATACGCTTATTGAATTGATTTTGCAATTCGTTCAGCGGAAGAAGCGCGTTCTCGTCTGCGGACCGTCGAACGTTTCTGTTGATAATATTGTGGAACGTCTGGCTCCCAAGAAGGTTCCTGTTGTGCGCATCGGTCATCCGGCTCGTCTGCTTCCTTCTGTTCTTGAGCATTCTCTTGAAGTCCTTACGCAAACCTCTGATGCTGGGGGTATTGTGAAGGATATCCGCAAAGAGATTGACGAGAAACAGGCTAGTATTCGCAAGACCCGGTCTGGTCGCGAACGACGAGGTATTTATGATGAGTTGAAGCTGCTTCGGAAGGAGTTCCGACAGCGCGAGTCTAAATGCGTGGATAATCTGGTGCGCGAGAGTAGCGTGGTGTTGGCTACTCTTCACGGGGCTGGTGGTCACCAACTCAAGAACCAGAAGTTTGATATTGTGATTATCGACGAGGCGAGTCAAGCTCTCGAGGCACAATGTTGGATCTCTCTTCTGGGTGCAGAGAAGGTGGTTCTTGCCGGTGATCATCTGCAATTACCGCCGACCGTCAAATCCACCGGGCAGAAGTCCAAGGATGAGACTTCCAAAGGCACCGAGGAAAAGACCGACACCGAGACATTGAAGGGTGTCTCTCTTGAACGCACGTTATTCGATCGTTTATTAGCCCTGCACGGACCGGGGATCAAACGCATGTTGACCACCCAATATCGCATGCACGAGACAATCATGCGATTCCCCTCGGACGAACTCTACGAGGGCAAGTTGATAGCCAGCGACGCGGTCAAAGCCCGTCTATTAATCGACCTACCTTACGAAGTAGAGGGCACAGACGACACGCAGGAACCCCTAGTTTTCTGGGACACGCAAGGTGGGGATTTCCCCGAAAAGGCGGAGGATGAGATCAGCAAAAAGGGAGCCTTATTAGGAGACAGCAAAAGCAACGAGATGGAAGCCATGGTCGTTGCTAGACACGTGGACAATTTGATTGATGCGGGCGTCAGGCCCGAGAGCATCGCCGTGATCACTCCATACAACGGACAACTGGCTCTACTGTCGCGGATGCTACGAGAGAAATACCCCGGACTTGAACTCGGCAGTGTGGATGGATTCCAGGGTCGCGAGAAAGAAGCCGTTGTGGTGAGTCTGGTGCGCAGTAATGCGGAACACGAAGTGGGTTTCCTGGGCGAGAAACGGCGACTGAACGGTATGCTTATCTCCCCCTTTTTCTTTCTTTTTTTTTTGCTCTTGGAGACTGCAGGTGTTGTACCTGCAGCGAATTCGATAGATCGCTAACTATGCATGTAGTCGCCATGACGCGCCCCAAGCGACATTTGTGCATTTGCGGCGACTCGGAGACGATCAGTCAGTAAGTGATAATTTGTCAAATGTGCCATTGAGTTCGATGGTTTAATGCTGATCGACAATTATTTTTAATAGTGGGAGTAACTTCCTCAAGCATTGGATGGACTTCCTTGAAGAAAATGCCGACCTACGATACCCCGATGCTGGAGATTTGCTCTAGAGACGTATTACTTTTAAGCGCAGATCGAGAAGTTCCAGTTCCAGAACGATTTGGGTCTCCACTTGGGATAGAATAGATTAAATTTAGCCCGGGAGACGCACGGCCTGCAATATAGGGGGTCAGACCTCCAAACAACTTAAATAGTTTCACCGTCTCAGGCCGAAACCCTTGCGCAGGACAGGGATAAGGCAGATAAGGTATTTCGAAACGTCCAGTTAGACGATCCTTTCTGCAAGAGGCGTTGGTGCATTTCCCGAAACAGAATTGGGCCGTCCAAGGCTCTTCCAATCCGTGAGGGCATCACTGAGGGGTTCTTTGAATAGCTACGTGGGCTAATATGGGCAAATAGTGTGGGCTAATTGTGTGGGCTAACAGCTGGGCTGAAGCTGAAACTGTTGAAACTGCATCGTGTCACTTGGGCCGTAAGTCTGTGCGGATATCAACATCTCGCCATGTGTTTCAGAGTCCACTTTTTCTATTCTGTATAGAAGGTAAGTAAATAGATTAATAGATTAATAGATCATATAGAATAATATAACATTCCATCTTCCCACTTTTCTCAACCAAAATCTGTTTCGGCTGTGGCTGAAGAACCATTGTGGGGATTGTTAGCTCTCTCTCTTCTCTCCCCTAATCTCTCCAACTTCTCCCCTTTCTTCTCTCTTTGTTCTCTTTCTCCCTTTGTTTATTAACAAACGGGATCTCATTATGTTCCTATTATGTTCCTGATATCCGACACTGTAAGTTTCGTTTGTGACACTACCTGGTTCTTCTGCTAATCCCCGTTTGATAGCTTTCAATAGTCTCAGTCGACTAATTACCAGCCTTTATTCGAATTCGGATTTTACATTTGATACCCTTTATATTCGATATTTATTTCCCGACACTCGCTCAACCCGTTTCCTTTTTATTTCAATTTTGCGATATACCCATATTTTTTGTAATGATCAACCTCGGCATCTTACTACCTTATATGCCCACTATCTCTCGATTGCGACCCTCTATACATCACCATGTCGAGACATCCCACACGATCCATAGCGAGCGCCGGCAGTGAGTCCGTTCGGAGTATACAACGATCCTCTCCCCGCGGAGAGCGCTCCGCCTCGAACCCTGCATCTTACATAGGAGATAACGATGATACCGCGCTACCGTCGATGGAATTTCACTCGCATGTCCAGCAATCTATGGCCCATCGCCGAACAGGGAGCACCTTGAAAACGGTGATGCGCAAGATCTTCAACCGCAAAAGACAAAGTCAGGCCGATGAACTGGAAGAGAACCCATACGAATCTACCTTTGCGATGCCACCGATGAGGAAACCAGGGCAAATGAAAGGAAAATCATTGTTATCCGTTCCGCCTCCTCTGAATTTGAGTTCACACCGGAGTAGTCCGCTCTCGGCACAGAACCTCCAGCTCGCAGAAACACATCTCTCTCCGCTATCTCCTCTATCCTCTGCAACTTTGCGTGATTCAATGCCCGGTAGCATGCAGCCACGCCGAAGACGTGCAACTCTTCCTAGCGTGGTCTTTTCAGACGACGAATCTCGGTTTGCGGTCGCGTCAACGGCAATATCTGATCCGCAAGAGGATAGAGGCTATATGCCAGAGCGAAGACACAGCTTGCTCTCTCATCGGCTATCGATGAGCACAGATGCCTTGCGCGAAATGACAGATCACCTGCCAGAGACTCAGGCCTCTTGGCCCCAACGCACATCATCCGCCCCCGGGCCAGACTCGCTTTCCCGCTCGCAGTCCCCACCATTAGATGAAAGCTCTAATAGTGGGCAATCGGGGCGGCCCTCATCGGGAACAACTGTAACCAGTGTGACCGGAATGTCCGCACCATCTTTGATGGAAGTCGACCAGCGCGCAGAACAAGCCAGCCTCCCGCCGAACGTCGCAAGTCTAGTCAACACAATGCAACAAGATGACAATGTCACTCTGGAACAGCGGTTGACCACGCTAGAAGTGAAACTAATCGATCTGGAATTCGCCATTGCCCGAATGCAAACCAACGGCCCCGAAATCACCGAAAAGCCATCGCGCCCACGACACCCCCCTTCAACAGACTCATTCCCTCACATGCGTAACAAACCCACCGCATTCCTATCCACAAGCGACCGCGACGACTCCCCAAGCCCCCTCCCAACAATCTCCACCCGCCCCTCCAGCACAAGCACCATCCGCCAAGACTCAATGACCCGCACACTCCGCCCCGCCCCATCAGCATCATCCCTGTCAGACTACCACGGCGTCTCAATCGAGCAATACAGCACGCTCGTCACGCTCCTGCGCCGCGAACAAACAGCCCGCAGAAACTTAGAGACCCAAGTCGGCGGTCTGCGCGATGACATCCGCGATCTCCAGCGCGCAGCTCTCGAATCCATGCAGTCAAACATGGGCATGCAGCCCGCGCCCACGGAATCGCGGCAGTTCCTGCGCTTCCGTCGCGCGCTAGATGACTCTGATAATTCTCCGGTGCTTAGGTCGGATGATAAGAACACTGGTATTGCGGACACAGACTCCGATTGGGATCGGTCGGAAATTTATTCCCGCGATGATCCGTTCGGTCCTCCGAAGTGGGAGCGTCAGCGGGTTACAACCGTTCCTATGATTTGATTTTCTTGCAAAATATGCAACTTTCCGTTTTTTCTAGCGGTTTCTTTTTTTTTATACATACATTCTAACCTGCCTGAACGGATATGATGTACTTCAGGCTTGTCGATTCTTATTTTTTTGCACATGTGAATGCGCCATTTCGGATCCCTAGGGGCATCCCCGCGACAGGATCGCGACTTTGACCAAGGTCAGCGCTGAGCGACATGTCGAGCACTTGTCCTCTTTCTCTTTCTTCTCTTGGCATGGGGACAGACACGACAGATTAGAGTTGCACGCAACACTATTTGTGACGATTGGCGCTATCCCCCAGGTTTAATGTCATATACTTCTCCATTCAAGACGATCCCTGTAGACATCCATAGATATCAATACATTATGTATCCTACGTCTACGTATTATAGACCCCTCATCCATGCTCGGCTAATCACAAGCAACGCGCTAAGAGTGCAGATCCGGTGCAGATCAGTGCCACAGGGGTGTCTGACAACCCACTTTCCTGGCGTCTGTCCAATCCCCCATCTTCCATTCCAGAAGCCTCGTATTCAAAAGCTTTGTACCCCTCCTATCTGACTCCCCGACGTCGGACATACAGTCATGGGTTACATACCACGTCCATGTGGCTGCAGTGGTACATTACCCCCAACCTTATCGACACTAAACAATATACATGTGAAGTACCCGGTAAATATAATGGAAAAGAAACTATTTAGTCCTTCCCAATAACTACCAATTCCCATTCCATCCCTAACCTCACCTCAACCAAAATGTCACCCAAACAACCCACAATAACAATAATCGGCGGCGGAATAGGCGGCCTAACTCTAGCAGCCGGCCTCCACCTCCGCAAAATCCCAATACAACTCTACGAAGCAGCACCCACCTTCAAAGAAATAGGCCTAGGGATCTCCCTAGGCCCAGCAGCCTACCGCGCAATGCCCCTAATCCACCCCGAAATCCAACAAATCTACAACTCCCTCATTACAACCCACGCAGACAGTCCAGGCTACGAATCCTACCTCCAAACCTGGTTCGAGATCGTCTGGGCAACAGGTGCCCAAGAAGGAAATACATTAATGAATCTAAAAGCCCTACCGTCTGGCCAGACGGCTCTCCGCAGAGCGGATTTCCTAAATGCGCTTGTTGAGCTTGTCCCGGCTGAATTCGTGCATTTTGGGAAAAGATTGAAGACACTCGTTGAGAAGGATGAGGGTGTGGTGCTTGAGTTTGAGGATGGGGAGGTTGTAGATGCTGATGTTGTTGTTGGTTGTGATGGCATTCGGTCGAAGGTTAAGGAGTGTATGATTCCTGTTGAATCGTTGCGCACGAGGCCGGTTTATAGTGGGATGTATGGGTATCGGGCGGTTTTGGAGATGGGGGAGATGGTTAGGGCTGTTGGGGAGAAGAGGGCGAAAGTGGCGACGATTTATGTGGGAAAGGGTGCTTATGCTATTTCGTATCCGATTATGAGGGCGAAGTTGGTTAATGTGGGGATTTATGTGTTGAGTGATCGGGAGTGGGAGTATGATTCTTGGGTTAGGCCGGCGAGGAGGGAGGATATGGAGCGGGATACGAGGGATATGGGGAGGTATGTGAGGTCTCTTGTTGAGGTATGTTTTGTGCTTTGGTTGTGGTTGAGGTGCTTTGACTATGTGGATTACATTACTTACCTTGTTTCTTAGCATATGCCCGACCCATCTCAGTGGGCTATCTTCGAGCATCCACATATCTCAACCTATGCTCAGTCCAGGATTGCGATTATGGGCGACGCCGCGCATGCTTCTACGCCGCATCAAGGTGCTGGTGCTGGACAAGCTATTGAGGATGCACATGTTCTCGCGGAGCTACTGAGTGACTCCCGTGTCAGCTCTGTTGACGATGTTGTTGCGGCTTTTAAGGCATATGATGGTATTCGTCGACCCAGGAGTCAGAGGGTTGTTACTAGCAGCAAGGAAAATGCTGATATTTTTTGTCTGTGTTTTGATGGGGTTCGAAATGATCCGGTGAAGCTGAAGGAGACGCTTGATCAACGTTTGAGGTGGCTTTGGGATTTGGATGTACAGGATCAGGTCGAGCGTGCGAGGGAGAAAATGGTGGAGTATTTGGAGATACCAGGGACAGCCAAGCATTGATTATAGCGTGATAATGGAATATTCATGGAGGCAATGTTTGAGTGTATGGCAATTCAGCAACTGTTGAGATGCTTCTAGGGTTATTTCTGTCTAGTGGTTTGGTATATGAGACAAGTCTTATCTTGCTCCAGAGACAGGCAATATTCATCCAGCAAAGAATATACATGATTTTGTTTCGATTGAAATTAGCATTAACGTATTAGGAAGCAAAGGAAAGAGAAAATAATAATGTTGTGTAGCTGAGCAGCTACATGAGCAGGGGATATCGGTTACGTCGTAGTGAACATTTTCTCTGCAATCAACATGCATGCATGTACCCGATATTTCTAGGAATTTTCTATTTGAGTCACTCTACTGGTTGCTTAGGGTAACTTGCCTCACGTGAATAGATGTTTGCGGGATATGGAAGGCGGTCCCATAAAGGCGGTATATTCACAAGGGTATCTACATGTAGTCAATAATACACCCTATGTACATAGACAATGTCCATACTATCTTCATCCTAGTGCATACATATAGTATCATCATGGCCTTGGCCCCCCGCTTTATCTTTGTTCCGTAATACCTCTCAAACATGTCCATATAATAATCCCTACCCCCGCATATCGTCCCCATTTCCCTCTTTTCCCCTTCTCCCTAAGCTCTCCAGCCCTTCTTTACCATGAGTGACACCGAGGATCATACTCCCCCTCCATGGGGTAGATTGCCTGTTGAACAATATTTCATCGTATGTTGTACCTTTCGATTTCCACTTCCTTTGCTAATCCTATGCAGATAAACTGGAACCACTCCTCAACCGAAACCCCTGACCAGCAACGAAAGAGGCTAGTTGCTGAGTTTCTGGACCTGGAATCCTTTCCTCATGCATGGACTGGAGATTGGGAAACCCTTCCGAAAGGTGTAGCTGTGCCTCGTGAGCCTACGACTGAGGAAGTGGACACCATTCTCCGACCATACCGTAGTGACTTGCTTCGATGGCACGCTATGACTATGTTCTATGACGATACATCCCCCGCTTTACTACGCACACATTATAGCGCCGACGAGGGAGAGAGAGGTAGACACGCCGAGCTAATGGCTGAATGGAGAGATTCCTTTGATTCTGAAGACTGGTGGGCGGTTCTCGACAATGAAGATCTCTTTAACTTTGGCTCGGAGTGGCGGCGTGTGTACCATATTCTTCCTGAAATCGCGGGCCCGCTTGTACTCAACGTTGACGACAGATGGAGAATCCCGCGGGCCGCTCAGAACGTGGATGAGTTCCGTCCCAGTTTCAAAACGCGACTTGACGAAGTGAAAGAAAAAGACCCAAAAGCTTGGCGAGAGGACCGAGACGCAATAATTGACAGCTGCGCAATAGGATTACAAAACTACGTCACGAGGACATATATCATCCTCGCTGACGAGGAGGCTTTCCGGTCTGGATGGTTGCGGGTGCTTTATTTAGATGGGTTCCGAAACATCGTTCGCGAAGTTCGTTCAGATCCTGTGTTGGATGACATCTCCAGTATGATTGGTACATGGATGGAAACCAACGGCTTCCCTCAAGGTTCCACTGTTGGGGAGAAGTATCGAGCCAGTGCAGAGTTAGGGAGGGAACTGTATCAATTCACGGAGGAGGACCTTGCAGACCCTAATTGATAGAGGGAATGCCCTCTATCAATTCCCCGAGGTCTGTACTCCAACACGGCATTGGTTCGGATGATATTGATGGCCACAGAAGTCATTTAACACCAAAATAAAACCAGACCTGTGAAAACAGCGATATCATAGAAATTTTCAAGAATGAAACTTTTATACATATTTCATATATAGAGATCTCATTTACATAGTTCATTCCTGTTCAGATTCATCTTGGCCCAATAACTGAGCCATCTCGGCATCGTTCAGATCCTCCACATACTCAATGCCTAAAAAGGAGTCAGCAGGTACTTGAAAAGAACTCTTTGTCCACATACTTTCAGCTTCCCATCCATCCGACTTCTGAGTGTCCCGTTTAGACGAGCCCGAGCTGCTTGCACTGTTCTGGAAACGAATCAAACACCTGCCGACTTTGTAATCAATGCCCCAAGCAGGAGGAGATGCGCCACCGTTGTTAGTTCTCTTTCAAAGCGCGTTGTACGCTGACTTGCTGTTGCGCAGTAATTTTCCATTTGACTCGACCCTCACACCTGGTAGTTTGTACACATCGTCCTGACCGAAATGATTGAGCGCGCAAAGAACCGAATCCATAGTAAGAGGGCCCACACTTTTGGGAGTGTACCAAGTTGGTGTGTTAGCATTCCACCAGTCTGCAGACGTGAGTGAATTTTGAGGAATAAGCCAGTCAGTCTTATAGTCTCGTTTGAAAGCCCACGATAGCTTCTTGTTATCTCCCTATCCTTTATTAATAATTTTCTAAATCTTGACAGTGAATACATACTTGGTTCCCAAGATCTGGAGGTGGCATTTCTTCGTCGTATTCAATGAGCTTTTGCTCATATACCCTCTCCTCTCCTCTCCCATAATTGCCCGCGTGGGTCCAGTCTACAGTAAAGAGACACGTTAAATAGTCGAATTACGAAGAAGTATAATAGAAGCTCACCTGTCTTTTTCTGCCAGAACACCCAATAATCTTTCTTGTTGGGATCTGTCCGCGAATCGGGATCCAGGTGTTTCCAGTTGGATGTAAGTTGCCCAACCAATGCTGAAATTTATTAGCAAGTTTGATAAGCATCTCAAAATAATTCAGATATAGATATAAAAACAGTCAAGTACTTACCGAGGCATTTCCCGTGCCAACCGTTCTGGAAGCGGGTGACACACTCCGTGCGGCGCTGACTCTCAGGTGGCCATGTTCCTCCTTGCTCACTAGACTTCCAGGGAAACTCATCACATTCGAGTTGCAAACCACTTCGCCTCAATGCCTTATTTAACTGAGTAGTCGCTTCCGCACACGCGCCGTCTGGACACACTGAGTTATATCTGGCTATTTTCGCATCCGCGTCTTGCGCGAATGTGAATTTTGAGCGCAATGGCGTAATATTGACAATGTTGTCGCAGAGCCCGGGCACATCATATGTAAGCCCATGGATGTCGTTTACGCCCCGGTATGGACCAAGCCAGCCACAATTGACTGCCAAAAGGTGCCTAGTCAGCCCACGAATAACATACACATCCAATAAACAGAAATCCAAACTCACATCGCAATTGTGGAAGCTGGAAGCCACTAGCTCCGGGTGGACATTGGCCCTGATTACTAAACGAGGGATCATTCGGGTCTAGTAGGCTAGTCAATTTCTGAGACCGATCAAGATACCTGTAAGGGAGTTCGTACCCGTCATTGTAACGTCAGCTCGGCGGAATATATCGGCAGCTGGTTCCAAAACGGACATTGTGCTGTTGTAAGGTATATCTGCCTCGATCTCATGCCGTTGAGCATCGGCCGCTATAGAAAGGTCTCGCTTTCCTACGTCAGACGCCGACATCGGAATGGTGCCCGTCTTTTCGTACAATTTGAGCATTTTGTCGGGCGAATATGCCTTGCGATCTCCCGTTGCCCAGTCAATGTAGCTGAGAACCTTAGCCACTGCCTTATACCCAATGTTGTAGAACAGATACGCCCCAAATCGATAGTGGAAAGCATTGTCAGACGTGTCGTAGTCACCATGAGCCTGGAACGAGAGGTCAGTCTCCACATAACCGCTTAGCTGAGCATCCATCAATGTTTTGCCGGCAACAAGCTTGATACCGATGCTGGCTTGTGGGGTGATGAGAACATCAATCTGCGCATCGACGGCGACTCCAGCGTGGAAGACTGGTTCAATTGTACCAGGCGCAGGAGATTTGGTTTTGCTCTCAAGACCGAGCAGGCTCGCGTATTTTTCTTGCAAGTCGTCGTCCTGGGGCCAGAATATTTCGGCCTTTCCGAAAGACATCTTTGCTCCTGCATCAAGTGAGCCAAAGAGCGTGATTTTGCCGCGTATCTGGATTGGATCTTAGCATTGCCTGGTAATAAATAAATTATTGAGGGAGTTTACCTGGCCGTAAACATCCAAGGTAGGCCCGACAGCCGCAATTCCCTTGACAGCTAGTCCAGGGTAAGTGAGGGTATCAATGATCTTCTTGCGTTTAGTCTGCGTCTGCGCTATAACTCTACCTTCGACGTGCAGTCCAATGTAGGCTTCAGGCTCCATTCCAAAGTATGCAAAGGTTTCTGGCTTGCCAGGCGGAATGAATGTTGCAGGGAGATAGTAGGCGTAGGTTGCATCCATTGACAGATCGGCCTCCAAATCCATCTTCAGTTCACCAAAGTAGGTCTCGCCGGGACATCCCCATTTGGCGTAGAAGAGGTTAATGGTTTTACTGAGACCCAACTCAATTACACCCACGCTGGACTTTGTCACAGTGGTCTATATTTTCAGGTCAGTATCTTGAGGGGAAATAGGGAAAATCAAGAAAGGCATACCAGCTTTTTCAACCACTCTGCAAACGCGCCGTACCAACGCTTCTCGGGCTGCACTTTGGTGACCTCCATTGGCGTCTTGACTTTCACGGGCTCCTCGCGCTTCCTAAACTCTTTGTCGCGTTTGGAGGCTCGCTGAATGCGCGCACGCCACTCATCCTGGGTGAGGCTGCGTTCGCCCATCCCACGCTTCATGCGGCTAGCCGGAGAGTTGGTCATCTCATCCCAGTATCCCATTAGGTTGGTGTAGTCAACACGAATCTGCACAGCATCATCGTCCCGCTTGAGCTTGATATCTTGGAAGTTGTAGTCAACCTTGACTTCGTAAACTGGGTTCGAGATTCTCTCCAAGGATCGGTGCTGTAAGTGGTGGCCAGGTAGCTGGAAAGCGTCTTCGGCTAATTTCATCGACACAATGCGTGCAAAGGGACCTTCGCCCACATGATGCGGAAGAGAGATAATCGTGTCCTCTGCACCATCGATAAACACACGTTCGCATTCTTTCGAGCCAACAGGGAAGTTGCAATAGACATGGAAAGTTTCCTCGGCATGGTCAAAGATGCTGTCCATGATAGTCTGGTTGGTTGTCAAAATAGACCGTTTTGCTTTGGAAACAATAGGCGAGCGGCGAACAACAGTTTGACTAGATGAGAAGTCGTTGTCGATAGACCCTTCAGGTCCATCTAGCATGACAAAGCCATACGCATCGGTGCCATCCTCTTTCGTGGAGCGTTCATCATCCTCATTGTTATTGGCATATTCATCGCGGTATTTCCAAACCACGTCGGATTCGTCAACTTCGTTGTAATACTTCGCCCACAGATATTTGGGGTCCACGGGCCACTTGCTGTTGTACTTTGTGGGTGGATCGCAACAGTACGACCACTCCTGGTCCATTCCATCCTCCGGGGTGTGGGAGTCGCATGTATTGCTGTTACCAATGCTACCAGTGTTACCAGGAGGTGTCTGTGGATTAAGTGCACCAGCAATCTTGACCTTACCAGCCGAGCAAGGTCGAGGCTTGCACTCAGCTCCTATGACATCACCATCGGTAAACATGTTCGTCCATTGGCAGTTCTTGAAGCTCTGATCATGGGAACAACACAGCCCACTCTTGAACGCTTGCTTGTGCGGACTTCCAACCAAACCATCCACAGGTGAGACGTACGTGTCTGAGCACCACGGCTTACCATTCGGTTTGTCAAACCGATAAGTGTAGTAGTCGTCACCTTTAGGGCATTTCGTCGAATCGCTGATGACCAAAGGCCCCTGGCAATCGGTCCAGTCACACTTTTGGAACATGAAGGTAGAGTCACAGCAGAGATATCGGGCTCCAGTAAAGCACTGTCCCTCACCTTTGGCATCTAGTGAGGTATCCTGGTTGAGTTTGAATTGGTTGCTGCCACACTTGCCGTCACAACCAAACTCGCTGCGCTCAGGGGCACCGTTCCACTCGCAATTCTTAGGCATAGCATCTTTCGGGCAACAGATGCTCCTATACCAGCCCTCATTGCAGTCTCCATGACGCTTTTTGCCTCCCGCCTGCAGTGGGTTGTGGGCTGTACTGACTGACATGTATCCTGATGGACATACCTGATCTGGGTTCTTTTCTTTGCTTGAGCCATCGGTGCAGCGATCTGTTACGAAACAGTTCTGACTGTTATAAGCTGCGAAAGCATCAGCGAGGACCTTTTTTGAGCGGCCATCATCATTGCTTGCCATCTGTAATGACGAGAGATCCTCGCCAATAAGGCCAGATAGAGCATTGAATTCACCATCATCCTGGTCAATTGCCCAGACCATCCAGCCACTTAGACAGTGCTTGGAAATGAACTTCTTTTTGTCGTTAAAGGACTGCGCATCGTCATACGAAATCCACTGTGAGCCTTGGTACACATTGTATTTGACAGTGGTTTTTGGATCGTAATGAGTGTGCACATCCTGAGAGTTATTTCGAGAGCTAATTTCTGCATATGAGAGAATGCCCGCCGTATCTGTACAGGACCCAGGCGCTCCTCCAGTACTAAACTTGCACTTTCCGTTTGGCTCACTGCAATCTTCATCCACCATGGTAAATGAGCGACCATAGAATGCAAAGCCAAAAACAACGTTGGCCGGATCGATGTTGTTCCGCCAGAGGAGATCCAAACCGAGTTCAATTTGAGTAATGTCGGTATGGCCGGCCAAATATGCACCCGTCCACTTGCTGTCCTTGTCCCACATACCGTGAAGATCGTAGCTCATGAGATTAATATAATCGGTATATCTCTGCATCCCTTCGAGATCAAAGCCACGCAGATACCAGTAGCTGGTCGGTATTGTTACGGAGATCTCCCATCCTGGGTTCTCATGGTCGAAGGCCTTGCGCATTTCTGCTAGCAGGATGACATAGTTGGCAGCATCATCTTCTGTGCCACCACGGTCAGGTGCAGATGGATACTCCCAGTCTAAATCAACTCCATCCAAATGGTAGTCTTGTAGATATTTTACCACAGAGTTGATAAATGTCTGGCGATTCTCGTGAGAGCGTGCCACTAGTTTGAAAGTTAGTTAAAGGGAAAAGAATTCGCGGATTGCACGGGAGTGGAATAATTAGAACTTACTTTTGCTCCAGAACGACTGCGTTGGTGGGTCACTGAATGTCCATCCTCCAACAGCGATGTTGATGCGAAGACCCGAATTGGTGAACTTGAGGAAGGACATCCGGTCCACAACATCGCCGTATTCATCCATGAGCTCGTAGTCGTCACCAAAGTTCACGAAGGCCAGATTGATATGAGAAAAAGGTTCAATAACGAGAGACTCCGGCTCAATCACGTTACAACTCTTGTGAATGTTGAATAACTCGTAGTATCCAATGCGACGGTCAAATGCCATTGCATCAGTACTTTCCGAGCAAGTTGCGTGACTGCATAGCTTGTGTTACTATCCAAACCCCAATTCAAATCAAGGCATGGTCCGTAGAGACTTACTCGGGCTGACCACAGCCATCGCCTTTCGAGTTGGGCTCGCAGCCTTTGCCACAAAAGTCGGACGTAACACCACAGAATCCAAAAGCACTATTAATGTCAATTAGTATCCTGTACTTGCAACAATGAAATGAAGTATTATCTGGTCTTCTTACCTGCAACAGACATTTATGGGGCAGTCAAAGCTCGCTGGAGCAGCATATTGACCGCACTCTGCAGTTGCGTTACATTTACTCTGGCAGCCTTTACCACAGTGATCTGGTGTAAAGCCACAGGAATTGTCTTTGCTACAGCAGCCTTGATAACAGGGTATGCTTTCTGAGCAAGTTCCGCCAGGTTGTCCAAGCCCTTGGGCAATAGCACCTGGGATGCGAGAGTAGAAGGTGTAAATGATAGGCAAGAGCCAGAGAGCGAGGCCACCGGCACGAAGCGTCTGAGGTAGCCTCATCTCGGCTTAATCAAGGAAGGTTTAACTGTAAGAGTATATCATAACCACCTAGTCGAGGGTTATGACCTGTGAGAGAGATGAGCGAGTGAGATGTATAAAGACAGAAATCAATATAAGAGACATGGACCAAAATGAATATAAACGAAAGAGACGGAATGAAATGAAATGAGTGTATATCAAAGAGTGATGGGAGAGAAGACCGGATAGAAAGTGATTTTGGGTAGAAGAGCAAAAAGGAGGGCCCTATAGCTGCTTTTGAGCCAGGTTGTATCAAAATCTTCTTTGCTAAGTCAGTTATTCTCCAGTCCTTCTCTGCTGTCTCGTAAGACTCATGCAGCTCGTGCTCTGAGCCCTTGTCCTCTCCACGGCAAAGGATCGTCTTATCTGCTGTACATGCCATTACGGAAATATTCGGATCCTGCAATCGAAATACATGAGCTTTTAACTGCAAGAGGCAGTATCTCCTTCCCAAGAATGGGCCTATTCCCAATCAGTTCAAAAAAGGTTCGAAGTAAGCATGCGCGATTTTGTGAAACGGTACCCTTGTTCTCACTACTATATGTTATGCATGGTATAGGAAAGGGATAAAGAGACATATGGGGGCCAAGTCCATAACCTCGAACAAATGCCCTTTGCCTGCGCACGCGGGGGCGGTTACAGAACGCGGCTATAAGGCTTGGCAGCCCCTGTGAACGGCCCGGGGGGCCCTATTGTCAGGGGCAACCAATGATATCCCATCAACGGAGCCTTGGCGGCCCCATATCTCGGGCGATCCCGAAAGTATGTGCCATGCAATCTCACCCGTAGTTCGTGCTGGGCGAATTAACAGGGGAGGATCCAGTGCAGATCAATTAGTAACATCACATTCCCGCCCGTCCTATCCTTCTTCCTGCCGGAGATTACACATCCGGGAGTGACCTCAGAAGCCGCAGGAAAAATGAGCAGAAATTTTGGGTAGATGAAATATCCAACTGCGCCCTTACCCTGCTAGGGCTGTAGATATCACAGTTCTTAGTTGCTCATCATGTTGCGAACCTTGGTCAAGGTTGGGATTTTTAGTCTGTCTCTTCTTTTCCAGGAAGCTGCGGCAATTCAACTATGGAATAACACCGACAGCTTCTCCGACGACGTGCCGGCCGCCTGTCAGAATGCTTTAACATTCAATGTTAAATGCGCCAATTATCTGGTGACTGCGCGCGATGTTATAAATGGCGCTGCTTTGGTGGGGAATCTGGCAGAACAGTATTGTACTGAAGAATGCCATGATTCTATCGACACCTTCCAGAAAAATAGCCACCTGGCCTGCGGAAATAAAGCATACCAGCTGTTCAAGAACACCACGACTAGAGTAGTCCCTGGGGATATTGTCAATGGGCTGATGTGGGCGTATGATCTGAGCTGCATCAAAGATTCGTGAGATTTCTCCAATGATGGAGCGATTTAAGAAAGCTAATGAGCTGGCTATGCCACAGAACCGGTTACTGCCTGGCAGACATTTATAACCACACAAAGGCAGCCTGTTCGGACTGTACCCTCAAGTATGGGGCAGTAATGGCGAGCTCCGACTATGGGCGTAAGCAGTTCCCACTAGAGGTCTTCTCCTCGCTTTTATCATCCTGTAGCGTGCCAGCGTCGAGCTATCCCTATGAGTACACTTCATCATATCCTACAACAACATCGGAGTCATCTAGTGCATCATCAACGGGCAATGCGACTCCTACTCCTACGTGCGCTGGAAAGACTTACGTTGCCAAGGAAGACGATACTTGCAAATCAATCTCTGAGTCTCAGTCTATCAGCACTGATCGCTTAGCTGAGATCAATCATCTGGACTACAGTTGCTCTTCACTTACCTCTGGCACTGAGCTTTGTATTGAGAAGACCTGTAAGGTGTATACCGTGCAAGCAAACCAGACATGCGAGGATATTGTCCGTGGAAAGACTTTTGGACTGGTGCAGCTCATTGGTTGGAACCCGTAAGTGAAATATGCCGTGTATTTCCTTAAACTCATCTCTGACGATCAACACAGGACCATCCATCAGAATTGTGACAACCTGGATTCAATGGTGGGGAGAAGCATTTGCATCTCGTAAGCCATGCACAAGTCAGAATTTGAGACTCTTGGATCTAATTTGTCCGTTTACAGACCACCTGGGGGAGGTGAATTTACTATCCCTACGACAAATATTACTACATCCAAAGGCCTCCCGTCCACCATGTTCTCATCTTGGGTGCCTGGAGAAACAACAACCATGGCCACCAGCACCACCACTTCGTGGTATTATCCTATTTATGATCCAAATTATACTCAACAGCCATTGGTCGGTAAGCCAAATTCTACTTGGAGTAGCTTGATGGCTGAGCGGACTCAATATTGCTGGTTGACCGATTATCAAGAGGAATCGGAGGATTTCTACCCTGATGACGATCTTTCGCCGGACTGCCTTTCCCTCTACGAGAGCTATTGTGATCTCGGCCCGACAGATCCAGTTCCAAAATCCCCGGTGTCCTCAATTCCCAAAACCTGCACACCCCAGACTTCTAGCGAGGAGCCGAAGCCCTCGACAACAGTGACACCAACTACCACCGGAATCGTTACTCCCACCCCGACCCAAACTGGCATGGCAAAGGATTGCAATAAATTCCACAAAGTTGCAAAGGATGAGGGCTGCCAAAAGATTTCTGATGATAGCAAAGCCTCCCTAAATGATTTCCTGGCTTGGAACCCGGATGTTGGCAAGGACTGCAAAAGCTTGAAGTATGATTACTATGTTTGCGTTGGCAAGAAATCTACTTCGGCCCCTGTGCCAACCACCACTGGAATCGTTACTCCCACCCCAATTCAGACTGGCATGGCCAAGGGATGCAGGAAGTTCCACAAAGTTGCAAAGGATGAGGGCTGCCAGCAGATTGCCGATGATAGCAAAGTCTCCCTGAAGGATTTCCTGGCTTGGAACCCGGATGTTGGCAATGACTGCAAGAAGTTGAAGTATGACTTCCATGTCTGTGTGGGCAAATAGTCAAATTCGGTCCTATTGGCCGCGCTGAGATGAGCTAAAATTGCTTTCAATTTTGTTTCAGTTGTTTTTGTTTCCCTGCTTGTCTGCCAAAAATATCTATATAAGCAGAGACTATATTTTCTTTACGCATACCCAGTGTTCGGTGGTGCTTCCTTCTGCGACCATGAAAACTTGGGCTTCGGTGGCAAGGCGGCGGTGGGCTTGAGCCGTTTGTTCAAGCGGATGTATGAACTTTTTTGGTTGTGAAGAATCGATCAGGATAGGTTTGCGGAGGAATGCAATGTCTTTCGAGATGTACCTAATTTCAATTGACATGCCTACTCAGTCTACGCAATGAAATCCTTATCTTTAATACAATATATTTTCTAGCAACCCGAAATGATCCTGGACATGCCATCGGCGTGGAGGCCACAAGGCTATACCTTTTTGATCACCAAAAATTTGCTTGAAGGCCAAATCAATGCCGATAAGAAGATGATTGAATGCGCGAACTGCACAACTGGTGCCCAAAGCAGCGTCAAACCGATATGCAAAACCAACGCACCCAAAGAGGTGTCACCAAGGTATAAATCCTGAAGCACACTACCCACGATGATGCCATGCATGTCCACGGCCATATTACACAAATTCCACACAAAGAACCAATGCGAAACCGAAATCTTCCACCCGCTGATGAATGTGTATACATTCCTAGTTACGGTTGATATTAGCGTCAGAGCCTGCAAGACACTTCCAAACACTTACAAAGCTCCATAAACTAACGGTCCCATCATAGGAATTGCGAGAACCAATTTGACCAACCAGCTATCCATAGACATTATCCCAGTGTACCACCTCCTACGTTGCTGGATCAAGTCTGAAACACTGACGGGAGGCTGTTCTCGTGCGATTGCATGAATCCAGCCAAATTTGACTCCTCGACGTGCGGCCTATCAGTCAGGTTTTCTAAATTAGCAAGTGGTTTGTTAATATAGTCAGATCACATACGTGAAAAGCAAACCAAAAGTCTTCGGCAAGACACCCAGTGTCCCAGGTGACCTTGTTCTCTACAGCACCATTGATCAATATGAAGGAGCCATGCATCCAGCCAAGTAACGGGCGTTTGAAAAGTCTGATTGGAAGTTGGAAACGGCCAAAGTCATCTGCAACTCTGAAAATCTCAGCAGTGGTCAAGAATGAGTTTTCCCAATAATTATGCGATGTGTAGTAGATTGTGCCCTATAATACACCCATCAGTATTGGGCAAGATATAAATTTAGGCGGGATACGTACCATCCCGATATCCTCTACTCCTCGCTCAATGAAGTCAAAGCACGCTTTTACCAGGTACTCATCGATCTCAGTCTCTTCGTCTAGATGAAGGACCCAATCCAGCTCGGATAGTTTCAAATGCAGTCGGAACCATTCCAACGCTCGTCCTTTATATTTGGCATGGGCCGGTTGAAATGAGGCTGGTACACTCACCACATTGACAAAACTAGGAATTGCTGCTTTGATATCATCATCGACGGAATCTAATACCACGTGGAAAGTAATTTTCTGATATTCCCTGCAATCTTGCCATACCCTGATGGAATTGACCACGGTCTATTACTAATGCATAAGCTTCCAGGGTTTCCAATACCAAAAGAAAGGGTTAAGGGGAGAATAGTGGTAGCTTACCTGCATATATGTCCCCTTCGTGACCAAGCAAACTTTAAGTTCACGGAAATAACGCCCTTTGGGCGCCTTTTTATATCCAAACGGCCGCATTGGTAGACACATACCCCATAATATCGAGTATGGTGGAAGTTGTCCTAGCAGAAACGGAGCGTAGACAATGGCTAGAATGGTGCAGTCGGGAGTCCAGGGCACCTCAGGCTCAACAAATTTGTCGTATAAGCCAGTCCAAGTACTTATGTGGTATAAAGCTAGACTGTTTAGGTACATATTTTGTACAATGTGCTCATGGCGAAAGACGTACCAATGAAGCAGATGGTAGCAGTTATAGGAAAGATTGCCCAATTATAATCCAGCCGCTCGTAGAACCTTTTTGTATGCTTCTCAGAAGAGTGAGTATCTCGGTAATTGAATAAGCGTCCGTTTTGCTGGTTTTCGGTATGCGTCGCCATGATGGAGATGTAGAGACGTAGCCCAGACAAATGTGTATAGGAAGCAGGAAAGTACAAAAAGAGCTTCAGTCCCATCCCGAGCTTTTTGTCCTTGGTTTATATTCATCATTTTGTGTACAGTCATTTGTGATATGGTTGAAATCACAACTAGACGTTGTAGTCCTTTTTGAGATATATCATCCGGTGACAAAGCTGGAACTCTTACACGCTAGGATCAGGCTTGCGAGGAGAACAGCGTCAACCTTGAATTAACAGGAATACAAGGGAATAGCTGAAATTGTCACACTTCGCCGAAGTTTAACTGACTAGGTATTGCTGGCTATCTATCCAGAGAAATCCGAAGGGAACTGGGACAAGTAGCCATACCAGGTTGTACAGGGAAAACAATGAGAGGAGCTCACAATTTCCCCTTATTTCCATTCGTATAAACCCGCGGGTAGTAGTGTTTGCTTCGAATATGAAATTTGACCTTCTATATTTAGAAGATTTACTCTGAGGTGCGACAAATCGTAGGTGGCGTGCAAAGACAGGAAAAGTCTTTAGTCGGATTTATATAAAGATGTGCCCGTGACCTACAATATGTATCACCATTTAATATCTCCGAGATTGTGAGAATGAAACCCCTATTGAGCTCCATTGGACTTCTCGGTGGCTTCGTACTATTTCTATCGTGGTTATGGCATAGCTACTTTTCTTCAAGTGAAAGATCCGAAGCGATCCGAAACCAACGAATAATTTATGCGACTTATTTAAGCGCGCCCACCGATAACAAAGAGTGTTTTATCTCCGAATTCTACAATACCAGCGATGCTTACTTCGATGCCGCTCGAATCCTCACATACCAGCTTCTCCACGCACCGGAAACACGGACCAGGTTGGACATCCCGTTCGTGGTCTTCGTTCATCAGAATGTCGATCGAGAAAAGAGAGACCGTCTGCAATCCGACGGTGCACAAGTGATCGAGTGGTCCGATTTCCGAGTCGACTGGTTTCGACCGACAGAATCCCGATGGGTCGATGCCTTGACAAAACTGCGGCTGTGGGAGATGGTCCAGTACGACCTGATCGTGTTTTTGGATGGCGATTCTGTTCTGACGAGATGTCTCGACGGGCTTATCATCACCTCATCGACTTGGCTTGAGACAGCCACGCAAACCTCATTATCCTTCAACGGGGTTGAAATACCCCTGCCAGAGACTTACATCGCTGCTGGCTTGCCACAGCTAAGGATGAATCATTCATCCCACCCGTCGCGTGTCCCAGAGGACTACTGGGACTGGAATACCTTGAACGCGGGCTTTATGATCTTGCAGCCGTCACTCAAGATGTTCCACTACTTTGAGACGTTGCTGGCAGTCGAAAATAACTTTGATACCAGCATAGCCGACCAGAGTGTCTTGAACATTGCCCTTTCTCGTTGGGGCCCTACCCCGTGGACTACGGTAGACTTCTCGTGGAATATTCAATGGCCATGGCCGGAGGATATCAAGACGGGCTATGCTGTTCTTCACGAAAAGTGGTGGGCACCTGTGCACTGGGAATCTAGGGAGTATCTGCACTCTTGGTACTGGCGAATGAGGGGGTATTATGCCACTTCTGGTTTATGACTCACGTGAAGTTTGATAATACGAGGATTTCCTAGTTTGGCTTTACTCTTGGCTTTGCTTATGCCGAAACCGAGATGTGGCGCACTGATTGGCTGTTATGGGGGTAATTGGGGACATCCCACGCTATCTTGCGGCCTTCAGTTACTATGAGTTACGCCTCGTCTAGCACGCCCTTCGCTTGACAATTTGCATTCTATATTATTTATATCTTCCGCCAGACTTCGTTCTCTTGTGATCTTTTTTCATCCTCAAAATGTCTACTACCACTATGGAAGGCACAATACAGACCCCAGATATCGTAAAAGTCATTCAATCTTCACCAGCTCCACTCGCCTACAGAATTGAGGCCTTCACACAAAGCGAACTTCTCAACCAGCCCTTCCTTCCCGAACTCCGGGATGTCATCAACGCCAGCTATTATGATACCTGTGATAGTCATTTCGAAAAGACGGCACCCCGGATCAGAAGCGACACCCAACTTGCCGATGAACTTCAGGAAACTGGTTTTACAGCAATTGCATTCGCTGAAAATGCGATCATCGGTACTGCAAGCTTGAAAGTTTGGTCGCCAGATTCCGATGGCGCCGTGTGGAAATTACCGGGCCATTTTCAACAATTCAGTGCAGATGAGATTTTCTCCGGGAGCTTAACGGTGGTGGATAGCCTTCATGATGAATCCCAAAATGTGCCCTGCGAGGGAGGATTCGAAATTGTAGCTGTCGCGATCACGCCAGATCCTCGATATAGGAAGAAAGGCATTGCGGAAAGCCTGGTCAAGGCGTGTGAAACGGAAATGAAGAAGAAAATGTCTCACGTGGGCTGTACTGAACCGGCTCGGTCGTGCATCATGCTCAAGTCTATCCGCGAGATCCAAGGTTCTTATTGGCTGAAAAGGGGGTTCCGCGTCGTGGGGGAACAATATTGTCCTCCTTTTACCTGGGCTTATAACAAAGGCTTTGTTCTTTGGGCTATGGAAAGAGAATTATCTGTTTGATAAGCATCAAATAGAGCCACTTTAGTAATATTTCATCAGGCAAAAGTTTCAGAATGACCAAAGTACCAACCCCCTCAAAATGCACCTTGTAGATCTAAGCCGAGGTACCCCAAGGATGATTGGTGGTAGGCCCAATAGTTATGTACGAAGTATCTACTTCGGGTTGCTCTGCGTCAAAAGAATCAGATCGAACTATCTTACACAAGTCGTCATCTCACTTCTCCGCATTTGGGCAATATAAAACCCCCACCAACGCTCTGATATTAATTGAGGCGAAGTATTTTATATCTCATACTCATCTTCGACCATGGCAGTTGTACAAATTTCTGACGATCTTTTTGAGGGAATCAAGAACAAGGTAGTTTTTATTACTGGTACGCATATTTGATATTCTATCATTAGAATGATATTAACGAAATCAGGCGGCGCGTCAGGAATTGGAAAAGCGACTGCCGAGTTATGTCTCAAGCAAGGCGCGAATGTGATCATCGCCGACTTGAACTCTTTACCGTCCGATCTCCAGACCTCGGAGAAACTCAAGTTTATAAAATTGGACGTTTGCTCATGGGAAAGCCAACGCGACGCATTTATTCAGATCGAAGAATGGTTCGGTCGAATTGACCACGTCTTCGCCAATGCAGGCGTCGGACCAACAATCAATTTCATGGATGACGTCCTTGATGAAAATGGCCAACCTACCCCTCCCGATCTACGGACCATCAATGTCAATCTTCTAGGTGTTCTTTCCACCGTTCGTCTAGCCACACATTACATCCAGAAGCACTCCGATCATCGTGAATCTGGTGAGCTCGGCAGTATCGTGGTCACTGCTTCTGCGGCTGCGTTCCAGAACTTCAGCGCTGGTGATTACACAATCACGAAACATGGGGTTCTAGGACTCGTCCGTGGCATAGGGTCTCAAATTGAGGGAAAGGTTCGACTCAATGCTGTTGCGCCTTCTTGGACGGCAACTAGCATGGTTGATGCTGGTTTTATTGAGGGACTTAGTGTCGGTGTTCAGGGACCGGATGCAGTGGCTCGGAGTGTGGCCTTGCTTTTCAACGATCATCAGCGTCATGGGGATGTTATATACAGCTGGGATGGGAAATATCTGGAGGTTAACAAGGCAGAAGGTGGATTTCTGGATGCTGCGGATAGACTCCTTGTGAATTCGCCTAATGAGGAAACTGTTGTGAGGAAAATGAGAGAAGAGAAGATGATCGTCTAAGTCTAGCTCTATTTGGCTGCTTTCTATGGTAATTCAATGAGCATTTCCTTTCTGTTTCCGATTTGTCCCCACTGTGAGACTATACATGATAAATAAAATAATTTTGTAGATAACTACGGGCTCTTACTCAAGCATTCTCAGACAGTCTAGCATGCAATAATATAATATGCACATTCTGGCTTCATCCAGGATCCAGGTGCCCAGCTCATTCTGGTACTGCATCCAGGGTGTACAGCATAGAGTGTGGAGAATCAAAGGAGTACTGCGTTTTACCGTCTTCAAGGTGGAACTATGAAAGACACTACAAACTGTCCAGGTCAGTTAGGCTGCCCTGAATATGCAGTCTACCGTGCAATACTTGATTTTCTGCAGGCAGCCATGATCCAAATATCCTCTGATTTACATGTGTTTCACATGGTTCATACGAGAGGAAAAGAACATGTAAGATGAATTTTCCCCATTTCCCAGTCCTACCCTACCTATATAAAGACCATCTCTTCGGGCTCCTATTTTTTTATCTCTCACATCACCCTTCCTGCTCTGGCCTTGATCATATCCCATACCACACCCTCGTGTTATAATTCTATGTGCAACCCAGGTCCTAAAGGTCACTGACATTGCGTTTACGAATTTATTGGACAAACGACCCGGCAGTTTATCCATTCTAATCGTATACGCAATGCCAATGACCCTTTGGGCCAGGGATGCACATAGATTTATGAAATTCCCATATGTCCAGCAGTTACCAAAAAGGCCCCTCTAAGGTTTGTTCCCAGCTTGCAAGATCCATATCTTCTTGTCAGCTATCTATTCCACAATTGAGTCTTCGTGTGAACCCTAACAAGGTTGGGGACTAGATCTGTCTGGTTATCGAAGATGCTGTCCTCTATAGATTGATCCATAAGCTGAGATTGTGCGGATCTGCGACTGTGGGGTCAAGTGAAGTGCCAACTCACACTAGAGCTGCATCCAGTCCATATAGCATATAGCAAACATACATAAACTGGTCATGGGAGTTTTGAAGTGCCAGAAAGGGGTGGGACAATTGAAAGCCAGAATTTTCCCCCCGTTTGCCTGTTTGCCTAGTACCTCCCTCCAATTGCCCCTTCGCCACATATAAATAGTGATCTCTCTGGCTTTTTTGATTCTCTATCTCTCACACCATCTTTCTTTCATTAGTTAGGCTATATTCCACACCCAACCTAAGGCTGGCTTTATAGCTTCCACTCAAGGCCAGGCGTCATGAGTTCATGGGTATATAAAAAGATCTTATGACCCCAGAACGGGCCTCTCCATCCCCCCCCGGATCCGGATCACTGTTGGGGGGCAATAACTGTCTGGTTGTGAGATATTACCTTCCATCAATTTGGTAAGCTGTTACTAAGCCTACATCGGTCAAGAGATAAGCGCTAATATGCTAGTCATTAAAGGACCTACGGCGCAATACGAGTCATCCGACAATGATCCATGTCGACCCCAACATCTCCGACGCCTGCACCCCGAGATGCATGCCTGACCCGCGCCCCCGTCGCCAAACTGAAACTTCACAAGCGTCCAAGTAGGGTAATACACAATTGTGGAGAGCAGTGTTCGACGTTCTTACCTCGAGTGATCCCTCCTACGTCATACCCTCATGTTATAATTATATATATGCCCCGGTCCTAGGCGACACTGCTAGTATATCTAGCACTCGAACGGACAGAAGACTGAGGGCAAATGGTGTTTGGCGTGTGCGATGCGTCAGTGAAGGATAGCTGGAGGATATGAAGCGCCGAGAGGTACGATGCAAACATGACTTTGAAGTGGAGGATGCGTGGGAGTATCTTCCAATATATCAAAAGTCTCCATAAACGTAAGTTCGGGCCTTGAAGTTGATCAGAGTATTCAGTGTGTCATGGAGTTCTCCCTATCACATGCGAAAGGAGAGTGGATGTCCTTCGAATGACAATGAATCATGAGATGACAATCGGGGAATACGCCGTGTTGGTCTGTCGCATCTATGATCCCAACGAGGTTACGACAGAGGTGCAGTGAGGCGAGATGAGGAGGCCCATGGCGGTGCTTCGAAATGCCCACGGGCAAGGCAATTGAACGAGAAAGACTCAAGTTTCATTTGGGCTCAAGCGGATATAATTGAAGAGTATACCGAGGTGCTATCTATCAACACCACTCAATGACCTTTGGCAAAATATCTAACAGATTACAGAAGCCTGAGAAGATTGATCTCTTTCTAGAATGGGGAATGACGAATGGAGACTGCAAGAACCTCAGTGATGACCTGGAATCAGTTAACAACGCTTGTCGTGTTTTATCAATGTCCTCAAAGTTCGAACATCGGCGCTTGCTGTTGCTATCGCTGAGCCAGGGCTATGAGTTTAATTGGGGGTGTTGCTCGATACATCTATTCATTATCTACGTTAGGTTTCATCCCGATAGTTCAATGGTGGATCTTGGACTAAAACAAAAGGAGCCTTCAAGTCCGTTAATTCACGAACCGCAGAGTTATGCTGGTCCTCTTCAGACCTCGTCGAGGTGCACCCGTCCTGTAGCACCTAAGCTGACTGATGCTCTGGAGTCTACCTCGGGGCCAACGCGCCCGGCTGGAGGACCTTCTCGACCAAGTCCATTGATCACCTAGCGCCGAGTAACTACTACAGAGGACCGTGGATGGTAGCTACGATATGCACCACGCTACCCAAGCGCCTATAAGAGGCATGTGGCGATATTCTGGAAACTCTGGATGTCCCCGGAGTTATAGCAATATGTTTTCTTCTTACTGTCTTTTTGCCTTTGAGTGGTATATTGTGGTCAAGTCGAGTCGACAACTTCTTGAGCACTCCTTTCTAGCTGTTAATCAAACTAATATTGGCAAACCGTCTCCATTCGCAGAATGCAACGACGAGGAGAATATCGACGGAAATTGTTCCTTCTCATTTTTCACTATAGACAACTACTATATTCTCTAGTCTAGACTTATAGACACAATCCATAGATACTGGAAATTATATTCATCGCGCAAGCGTATAACAAAAAAGGGTATTAAATATACACAAAATTCAACAAACCACCAAACAGATATCACCGAATCCCACTACCGGTGGTAGTAAAATATAGAAACATAGAACGTAGAACATAACCCATGAACATGAACGGAAATGGTATACAACCCACAAATCAGGTGAGCTTACCAAGATCAACACCGGCAACCTTAAGCGCAGCACCAACATCCAACTTGATATGCAGTGTATTTGCAGCCAGCGCCTTGGTGAAGTACGGAATTTCCTTGCCGTCATACACGCTTGAGTTGCCAGTGATGTCGAAGGGAATGATACCGTCTTTGTAGGGGTTTTTCTTTGATAGGAGCAGGGAGATGATGTATGCTTGGTCGACTTCACCGATCAGTGGTACGGTGTTGTTACCGGGCTTGAGGACTAGGTTGTTCAGGTAGGTTGTTCCGACTGGTCTGCCGGCTAGTTCGAGGTTCATGGTTACATTGCCCTGTTTTGTGTTAGTTTTGTTGTGATATAGGAAGGAAGAGTATTTACCATTGTGATGGTCATGACAGAGGGATTGGGGATGATGGCGGTGCCGTTCATGCCGATATTGGTCTTCTTGTCCGGTGGGTAGATGATGTTGAACTTGGGTACGTCGAAACCCTTGAGTCCGTTCAGCCCTGTTTACTCGAGTTAGTATGTGTATTTCCCATACTGAAGTCGAGTTTGGAAAGAATAATGGAATAACATACCCTTCATAACAACAGTCTTGTTATAAGTAACCGTAGTCTTGGGCAGACCACCTTCCTTCAGACCGGGTCTTCCGTAAATATTCATTGAAACCTCCTCATTCAACATAACAGCAGTGTTATAGTCTTTGAATGCAGAAGCATCTGACAGATCAACGGTCTGCTCGAAGTGAAGCTCGGCCCCGTCCTTAGACTTTACGGAGGGGACAGCGACATGAGCGAAAGGCTCCGCCGCGCCGGCCAGCGAGACCGCGGAGTCAAATTCGTAGATCTTGGGGTGGAAGGCGCTGTGCGTGCCGATGACTTGTCTCTGCTCGAGGTGGAAGGATTCAGGTGTTGGGTTGCTGATGATCATCTCTGTGATATTGAGGGTCGAGTCGGTGATGCCATCTTGTGCGATCTTAGGATAGGCGACGTAGACACTAAGTGCAGTATAAGGTGAGTGGAATGTTCCGCGTGGCGTATTATCAAGGGTTTAAAAGATGGAGAACTTACACCGGCAATAGGATGATTAGGAAACAAGCGATGAATATAATCAAGTGTACCCACCACCATTTCTTGAAATGGGCAGCGAGGCGAGCACCGAAGCCCCTCTTAACTGGTGCCGGGTCGACGTGGGATTCCTCCTCTACAACTGAGGCCTTTGTGGTCGACATCTTGGTACTGTGGTTCTATTAGAGACTGCAAGAGGGTTCAAAAGAGATATACATACCGAGTCGGACACCTGTAGAAAAAAGAGCTTCCAAGAAAAAGAAAGTGGTACAGGCAGTCTAAAATAGCGTGGGTAGTAGTGTGTACTTTATAATAAAAAAATCTAACAGGCAAAATGAATTGACAAGGTATATTCTAGCGTCACATGTGTTATGCAGGAAAAAAAGCCACCAAATCCAATCCGAAAAAGAAAGGGGAAAATATCCCTGCTTCTCATTTCCTTTTAGTTGATTTTTCTAATTATATACGGGGAATATAAGTGTGGTATTAGCGTCTGGGGAATCCCGGGGTTCCGGGGAGATACGATCAACAAATCTGGGTTGTATAATGTTTCAAGTTAATATCTAACCATCACCACATGCCTGAAGATTAGAGCCGAGGTGGACTAAAATACCATAAGAATTTTAATAAGCGGGATGCGTCGGGACGGGTGCATCTGTCCTACCAGGGCGTTTTTCCTTATATGTGTAAGATTTGGGGGACTTTTAAAGAGATAGTCTATGGAGTACCGTTGCACTAGCTTATTAAATGACCAGGGTAATTATTGGTGGACAGTGAGACTAGCTGCAAGATAGCGTATTGCCAAGGGAGGCGACCCTGGATGCAAGGACTGTGCCCGTATTCAGAGAGGTTCTATACGCAGTACGGAGTACGGAGAGCAAGAACAGCCGAGTCAAGTTCAATCCCCGCTAATCCCCGCTAATCCTCCACTAAACACAAGAAAGACGCCAGTGTGTTTTAGGTGATAAGCCCGGAGGACCAGTCTAGACGATCTAGGCGCATTTAGGTCAATGCTCCGAGACAAAAGCCGGGGAACAATGCGGGGGGTCAGGTGTTTAGAAAGAAATGTGTTTTATATGAAATATTTACTGCTAATAAGGAATGCAAGTCCAAAAGATACAGATACTTGATTCTGTCATGAGTTCATGAAGTCGCCACACTGAGGTATCGAGCAAATATGAGAAATTGTCCAGGGCATGAAACCCAAGAAATATAACCAAGAAGAGAAATGATTTGCCATGCAAAATAAAAAGAAATCGGCAAATGGGAAGAAAAAAAAAAAGGGTATATACGGAGAACTGAAGTATTAAGCCTGCGAGACACGTGAACCACTCCCGGTCCATGCTCGAAAACAGCTGCCCAGGCGGCTCGGAAAGGAAAATGTGAAGGAAAAATTTAGACATGTGGAAAGGAATGTAAAGTCGACGGGGAAAAAAAGGGGGGGAATAAATCAAAGATCGGCTAGGAATGTTCCAAACATATTGCAAATTGCAAAATGAATGGTTGTTCCAAAAGAACGCGTTGAGGCAAAATGAAAAAGTGAATAAGAAAGATAGGCTATGCCTCTGGGACGATGGATTTCTTTCTTTGGAAGATACTGCGAGTGCGAGACTTGCTACGCGACTTCTTGTCCTTCTCTCCGCTGGCATTTCGGCCACGGGGGTGTGAAGGAGCGTCAGTCTCATTGTATTTGTCCTTGTAGATCCTGGATAAACGTGTTAATAAGGTCGATGGGAATATCACTATTAGGAACGTACCAGCTGTTTCCAACCATGCTCATACCCTTAGACTCAGCCTGGCGATAAAAGCGTGCCGCCTTCTTCATGTCCTTCTTGCAGCCAACACCCTCCGCGTAGCAGAATCCAGCTTCGGCCATGGCATCAACGTCGCCCCATTGACCGGCAATTTCGAAGCAGCGCAAGGCAAGTGACTTGTCCTGCTCGATACCCCAGCCATTCAAGTAGCTGACACCCAATTCATAAATGCTGAGAGCAAATTGAGCCCGGTATGCCTTTTGTAATTCTTTCGCCTTCGAGGCACCAGGGGCATCCGGATCGGCCAACATTTCCAATCCGACGGAATCCACAGCTTTGCGTAACCATCGTACGCCCTCCTTCTCATTGGACCGCATGCCCCAGCCGTGTCGACAGGCCAGCGCATAAAGCAGCATTCCCGTCGGATGGTCTTGTTTCGCGGCAACCCGTAAATGATACGTCGACTCGCTCAATGATCCTCGCTCGTGGCATTCAATGCCCTTGGCGACGTGGTCGTCCGCCGTGAGGCCCGAAGCCGTTACCGGAGCGTTGGCAGTTTGGGGCCGCATGGTGCTGGCCGAATCCGCAGAAGAGACAGTTTCATCCTTCTCGTTGATTGTCTCTCGGGTGCTGTCAACAGAGGGCCGTACCGGCTCTATTGGCGAATCGGGTACAGGCGGAGGGGGCGGGATTCGTTGAGACTTGGGGGTTTGAGGTTGAAGTTGAGGCTGAGGTGGAGATTGAGGCGGAGATTGGGGTTGGAATTTCGGTGCTGGGGATTGAGGCTTCGAAGCTGGAACTTCGTGCATCGAGTGAGGCTTCGGTGAGTGCGCCAATTGTCGATGGGGCGTAGGGGATGGGGTCCGTGTCATTCGCGGTGGCTCTTCTGAATGCCGTGGAGGTGTTTTCTCAAATAAGGGCTCATCCCACTCGAAATGAGGCGTTTGCAAGCCCGCAAAGACCACGGAATCCCGTGAAAGGAAACGTCCGCGCGGAAGCGCATACTTGGCGTACACATAAGATGAGACAGCGGACGACGGCTCGCCATCCATGGCTTCTATTGCAGCAACATCTTCGGTCGTCAGTTGTAAAACGAGGGGAGTCGGCTTGCCGCGACGAGTCATGTGGTTCGATGAAGAGCCAAGAATCGGGTCGGTAGGGGTCGAAGCTCCAGGGGCAGACAAGGTCGTACTCGAGCGACTCAACGGTCGAGAGAAATTAAAAGAAGGGCGGGGTAGGTGGTTTCCTCCCGTACCCGATGTCTCCGAGCTCATGGATGGCGATCGAGGATGTGCTCGTGCAGGGAATGTCGACATGGGAGAATATGGCAATGACACAGCACTTCCAGAGGACAGCTTGCGAGGTTTAGAGAACGTCGACCCACCGTTAGAGCTACTATAATCATCATCAGAGCTCTCAGGGTGTGCCACTTTTGCACTGCTGGATGGGCGCGACCGTGGTGACACTGGCGGCGCCAAGGTACGTGGGATGTCCAATCGAAAAGATGAATCAATTGATGAACCTTGCGGCTCAGCAACCGCCATACCAACAAGCGCATCATCCGCTCCACTTGCGTGTGACGCAACGCCCTCTGGTGACTCGGCACGCGGCATTCCATACGCCTCCGAATCATGATTTAGCATCGTTGTCCGGGGTGTCGCATTATCATCATCCTCATAATAGCTAGCCTCGGTGCTAGCATTGGAAACGGAGCTGAACCGAGGATGTTCGGAGATAGGGCGGTACTTGGGCTCTGAATATTCCGGGAGTCCCTTCTGCGTGGGTTGGCGGGTCAGTTCGGTACGGGCTTCAGTTGACGACTTGGAGCGGCCGAAGCCCGGGCGGCCTTGGGAAAGCGATCGAGCTACACTCGCCGGTGGCAGCCGACTCATGCGGCGGTCGCCTTGTCGAGATTCATCGAGTTGTCGGGCCAGGAATCGACTCTGAGCGGCGAATGCGTCGAGAGGGGAAAGTGCGGGAGGAACTTCGCCGTCGAAATGCGCTACCCGCGGCGAGGACGTACCACTCCGCACACTCCGCCCACTCCGCATGGTATCGTGGGATATGGAGCGACATTCGCTCAGTTTCCCTCGCATGTCCATGATGAATATGTGAATATCAGGTCGGCTATTGAATCATTTATCCTGAGTCGGTTGGATCCTTTGTGATTTGCGCAGAAAGCATCGAAGTTATTTCGGAAAGGTAGCGGACACAACAAAGGGGGGCGCTTTAGGGCGGGGAGGCAATATCGAGCCAAAGGAATGACAGCCCTATAGACAAAAATGCGTAGGAAGAGATCAGGGCATAGGGCGAGAAAGGAGAAAGAGAGAAGGGGAAAGGCGCTGACGATCTAAACAGAAGCGTCCCGTGCACTAAAAACAGTTTACTCCACCAGGTCTCGACGTTTGACAAGGGGATCGTCTCAGGGGGAGAATTGCTCAGGGGGTTGCCAAGAATAACAATTAAGTTACATACTCCAAGTATGTATTGTTATTGGCTATTATCCTATTGAATAATAGTCCACTATGGACTATTGATCTTATAATAATTTCACCATGTACAACATACATAGGTGTTTTGTTTGACCCGCTATCTTCTAGAATCCCAACAGTTCCCCTGCCGTCTCTCCCCACACGGGAGGTTTCATCATTTCTAAACATGCATGTTTTAGAACTATGACAGCATAGGTAATTGTCTATACAATATTGACATTGAAATTAGGGGCTAGTTTTCCAGACTAGCCAGGCTAGCATTGAGAAGTGAAACCATCCCCTACTTATATTGCAAGCCACGAGAGCGGGTACCACACGAAAAGGTTCCGGCTATTAATGGAATAGACATATAAACTATCTCTTCGGAATTGTTTCATCCTAATTTCATTTAGTAGATCACTATGGACAACATACGTTCTAATATGCCAGGAAATGAAAAGGACAATATACGCGGCCTTTTTTGATTCAACTCAACCGTGGTCTGTGTTATCCACTATTCCTATTTGGGAATAGTGACACATGTTACTCATCCCACGGCCCCGGAGGTGGTCTGAACTCTAAACTATATCGGGATACACTCTTCTCGTTTCTCGTTCAAAGCACCTACATTTCACTCTATTCGCTTGCCCAGTATTTAATCCATCTGAGTGCACAGGTAGTTTCGAGTAGAATGCTGTTTCTCCACGGGATGCGCCAGTTAATGCATCTACGGTGCAGACATCTAAATGATATGAGACATCATGTTGAAAGCTATGTAGTCACTACTCATACCCGATAAACAAGATGGCGCTGCAGGTAAAGGCATTCTTCCTTCCACTCTTGGTAATGCTCCTAACTACAAAGATAACCCTTGGGACTGGATGAAAGCTAGCCCCTGGTCAGAACTTGACCAATGGCGAGAGGTGTGACTGACAAATGTAATGCCGAAACGTATAATACATGGTCTACTCCTGATGAAGATTGGATTTCCATGAAGCACTATTCTTTTCGTTGCTCAAAGGCTGGAGACCGAACTGCATCAGATCATCGCTAATGCCTTTTGGTCTTGAGTGCCTCCCAAATGACGAACATCTGCGCCTTGCTTGGTTTACTCTTTCATTTTTGATAACACGCTACAATTCTCAAAATGTCGGTGTGCAGACTGTTAGGGAAATCGGAAAAAGAGAGAGGGAGATACGGAACCAGTCGCTGTTTCAAGACTCACCTGAAATATGCGTTCCCGAGAGACTACAACCGGTTCTTTCTGATGTCTGGCCATCCGAATCTGGGAATAGTAGCTGGGAGTCGGTACGCAGCAGCTTTCCTTTGCGGCCCAATGATGCTTGAGCTTTCTGGTGGTGGCAGCTATCAAGCAAGTAAACTGAGATTCAGTATTCAGATATATGTAGCAATCTTCACAGGCTGCAGAATAGACTAATATGTTACCCATCGGGTTGACAGAACAGAATAACCTACAAATCCGGTTTCAAGAGTATCTTTGGTTTCATACTATATTATAGGCTGTATCCACCGCAAGACTATAAGCAAGGTATGCATATGCTTGAAAGAATAACTCCTGCATCAAGCATATCTCAAGTCTTCCTATACAGTATGCGTCCGGGTAGAGCCCATGGTTTGGAATGTCTCGAATATCTTAGTCCAAATGCTGATCATCGAGACAACCTTAAATCCGGTCTTGGTTTATATCAGTCCTTTGGCTCGATTCCAAGACTCACCCCCTGATTCTGATTCAACGTCAGATTCAATCATAAGCCTTCAAACTCTTGTCAGTGTGTAGGGCCAGCACTTGTGGTGACAAATCGGATCTAAGGTGAGACTGAGAGTAAAAGTGCCTGCACGACTGGCTTTAGTCCTCGTAACTTAGCTCTAGAAGCGCAGAACGACTTGCAAGGTCACTCTAGACCGCAGGAAACAGCAGACATTAATCTCCCCAGCTCCCATGTGGGCATTAAGATCCTAGTTTTCTGCCGGTCTGGGCAACCACATGTACACCTGAAGCTCATTTTTCTTGCTCATTTGCCTCTTTCGCTTAAATTCTCCAGTACATCGGAATCGCAAGGGACGAAACAGCATGTCTCAACTCTCTCTCTAACCACTCTCTTCAGGGTTTACCAGACTACCGATGACAAGCACCACTTCGAGACATCTTGGATTCTACCCCCGGTCATACTCGCCAGTCTTCGCGGTCTGATCTCACTGTACATCTTCACTTCCATTTTCATCTTCTGGGGCTGGTATGGCACCCACGATAATCTCTCTTCGATTGGCCGGTCTTTCAGCTACTTCACCTGGCTGTCTTACTGGGGTATTGGCTTCTACATGCTATTCGCTGCCATCCATACAGCGTGCTATGCACGAACAGGCCGCTCGGCTCTCTTCGACCGCTGGCCGCGGGCCTTTCGCGTACTACACAGCTTACTGTATGTGACAGTCACAACGTATCCGTTTCTCGTTAAGGCTGTCTTCTGGGCTGTCATCTTCACTCCACCGTGGCCCACAAAGACCTTCAACGGTTGGCAAAATGTACGTATCATCTTTCGATTTCCCTCTATGCTTCCTTTTCTATATATCCCCCACCAAAGAAACAGGGCTCACCTAGGCACGACATTGACATATCACAAGCTCTCCCGGAAAGCAAAACCCAATCAATATGAGCGCAAGTTCAAGCTAACCTACCAATTCCCCAGGTCTCCCAACACGGCCTTAACTCTGTCTACGTCTTACTTGAAATCATCCTCCCAGCCACAGCACCGCACCCATTCATTGCAATCCCATTCCTACTCTTCATCCTCCTGCTCTACCACTGCATCGCATACATCACTCACGAAACTGAGGGCTGGTACCGGTATTCCTTCCTCGACGCTGGCAGTCACGGACAGAAGAGCAAGCTTGTGGTGGCATACTGTTTTGGCATCCTCGCTGCGGTTCTGGTCTTCTTCGTCATTTCCTGCGCGCTTGTTCAATTGCGCTGCCGCCTGACGCACGGGAGGAATATGCGGGCGAGACGGGATCCGCTGCGCGCACACGATGCTTTTATTGGTTTCGTTGGGCGTGATGAGCAATCGAATGAGATGAAGACTGTGTCAGGTTTGGAGGCGGCGATGGGTCGATTTTCCTCTTCTGGGGGAAATTGCTTGGTTAGATAGGCATGGCGCTGTGTAATACCAATATGCTACTAAATGCTAATCTAATAATTGTGTCTATGTGTTATTTAAATGGCGGACCTGTGAATTGATTACTACTTCCAGTAAGTTCTGGCGCTTCCGGCCTAGCGCCCCAATACGTCGTCACGTAACCTCTTCCTACATAGCCTCGACACAAAAGACCTTGCCCTGTTGACCTCTCTTCTCCTTCTTCCCATTTTCAGAGGTCCTTCTATTCTATATGTAAAAACCATAGTTATGTGCCAGTGTGAATAACAAAATCTGGCGAACAGGGCTATTCAAGAGCGAAGAGTATTTCCAATGATATTATGTACAGAAGAGCATTATTCAAAGCGAGTGCTTTTGATATATTAGATACGGCAAGGCCATGAAGGAGATGTGTCAAAGAATAGTACACGAGCTTAAACCCTCTCCCAGCTGGTTTCACTGCTGCTGCCACTCGGGGTCTCCGAGTTCATCCCATTCCCACTGCGGTAGCCCATCATCAGCGCCACGAGTCCACTAGGAACCCAGGCCCCGATCAGGCTGTACGACCGAGCTCCCCGGCCTACATACATAACAGATTTCTTGGACACTTTCCGGCCGAACATATCCCGCGAGGTTGGCTCCAAAGCATCCAAAATAGCGTAATGGAGGTTCCGCGCGGGGGATCCGCGTATTGTGCTGGGACCAGCAGACGCAACTGGGCGCTGCTCAACGCTGGACAGATACTGTGAGGCATAAAGGGCTCGCTGCTGGGTACTCCACGCGAGGACTTCTGTGCCTGCAATCTGGTTCTGGCTATTCCGGTATGTAGGTCCCAGGTCAATGTTGCCCAGCTGTAGCTCAACGACATCGACATTGCCTTGTTCGAGGAGACGAAGTTCCTGGCGAAGTGAGGCTGCGAAGCCTGAGATTGCTCGGGCTGTGGCTACTTCGGGACCGGCAAATGGCGCGGAAAGAGAAGATGATATGGAAGGATAGGCGAAGACAATAGTGCTACTATTGCTGCGCAGGGTCAGCAGGGGGAGGAATGCCTGGACTGTGAGGATGGGCGAGAGGACACGGGTGTTGACGGTGTCGGCCCACGATGACGGCGGGATGGTTGCGACAGGGCCTGCGCTATAGTTTGGTGATGGGACCACGATAAGGCCGCTCAGTTGACAGGTGTGCGGAGGCACTCCGGCGATAGGTGACTGTGCCTGGGTAATCAAAGAGCGAAGCTCTTGCAACGAGGGATGAATTTCGGACGGCGACGAGGATGTCTAGTTTAGAATATTAGTTAAGTTCTGCCGTATAAGGAATACACAAACAGCACTTACACTTGTAAGGTCCAACCAGAGAGCCTTGATGTCAACACGATTCTCGGACTTGACGATTTGCTCTTCGTCCGCGGAAGAAACAGTCACATATACAATATATCCTCGACGTTCCAAATCCATGGCAATAGCCCTTGTCATCGGCTCATGTGGCGATCCTGCAACAACTATAACCGCAGAATTAGCATTCAGATCTTAGTGCAGATCACATGCAGGCATTATGACACATACCAACAATCTCTTTTCTTGCGCCGTTGCTTGCCCTTCTGGCCTTTCTCCGTTTTCCGTGTAGCTTCTTGTTTCCATAGTATAGGACAACACCGGTTCCGATAAATGCGAGGATGGCCGCTGACCATGCGCGATTCCGAGCCACCCAGCTTTGGATCCGGTCCGTTAGGCCTTGCGATGACCGCATCCTCGGGGAACGACCCGGGCGAACAGTGGGCGGTAGCCATGACTGCTGGGCCAGCGTATCCTTAATCACATGTGCGGCATGGTCGACTTGTCGGTCAATCGAGTCGGCGACTTCGAGGGAATACCGCCTTACGTCATGGGGTATAGACGAGAGCTGGATGAGGAAGTATCAGCGCCGAAGGCTTTCTTTGTCACCTTCCATAATACTCACATAGTCAAAAAAGAACAGGTCGTCGCTCGTCATCTTGTTTATTTGAGAACAAGCTGGAAAGAAAAAGTAGAACGAAAGTTCGATAAGATGGATGCTGATAACGCTCTCGGTGTTATCGGAAGGTCACATGAGCAGCGCTTTGTATAAAACTGTCAACGGGGAGTATAGAAAGCTAGCTATATATTTTTGCATATTTATTTTGGTTGTTTAGGTACTATTTTCTACCAGAAGTCCTTAGAATGCGGCAAACTGGTTTTTTAGCAACTTGGTTATTGTATAAATTTGGGATACTGTGAACATATATCTGGACACAATGACACCACGGCAAACCCAAAGTTAAGCAAAAGTGATCTGAAGGTTCTTAGCTAGTACTATATAGGGATAGAGCAGTCCCAATTCCATTTGAAATTATCTTTATCACCATCACACATGATTGAAAGGCATGCATTTCGTCAGGACTTTGCAGATCCAGGGCACGTGATTTATACATTCCGCCTGATATATCAGGCGCCAAATGTGTGCCTTGCTTATGCCAGAAGGCCATCCATGGAAACCCAAAACTTGGAATGATTCTGGAATTTCCATCACTGGCTATGTTCCTTTGACTGTTCCTGGCTACCTGCATCGCCATCTGTGTAATGCCATCGTTTGGGCATGCTCGGATGTGAAATCCTCTCGTTCAGACCCTCGCCTTGGAGGAGGCTATCCCAACGAAGGCAGTCACACCTCAAATATTCGCGGCGTCCTATTTGATCATACTGTCCAAGTTCTTGATAATAAAAAAATCGAAAATGCGCGAGCTAGACCCCCTAATCTCAGAATATCGCCATGAGAAGAAACGCCCCCGAGAAGCCGAGGCCCTCTTGATCCTACGCAAAGTCGCGTCGTTGGTCAAACCGATTATGCGACAGCGCGCCTGGAAAGTGGGTGCGCTCTGTGAGTTCTATCCACAGCAGCGAAACCTGCTGGGGCTGAATGTCAACTCTGGTCAGAAGATTTGTCTGAGATTACGGTATCCCTCTGACCAACGGCAATTTCTCCCCATCGAGGAGGTTTTGGATACTATGCTTCATGAGTGAGTGATTCTATGTCTAAATATCCCACAGTACAAATTCTGATAAAGTTTAGACTCTGCCACAATGTGATTGGTCCCCATAATCAGCAATTTCACGCGTTGTGGAATCAACTTCGTGATGAGCATGAGGAATTAGCCCGAAAAGGCTACACCGGAGAGGGCTTCTTATCTCAAGGAAAGCGTCTGGGTGGCCAAAGAATTCCACTAGATGAAGCTCGACGTCAAGCTCGTGCCGCTGCTGAACAGCGCAGGGTTCTTGCCAATAATTCTGGCAAAAAGCTTGGCGGCACCCGCGTGCTCCGAGGAACAGATATACGCAAGCTTCGGGCCGACGCTGCGCAGCGGCGAATTGAAGTAACTCAGGGCTGTGCATCTGGAACCGATCGAAGCACCGAGCTTGCGGAAGAGGCCTCGCATGGGTTCAGAACCCAGGCCGAAGAAGACGACGCAAACGAGCGGGCTATCATGGAGGCATTTATCGAACTGATACAGGAAGAAGAAAGGGAGAAATATGAATCATCTTATGTCGCGCCAAGTCAAGAAAACCCGGCAGGACCTCGAACAAAATCGTCACAGCCACCTACTGCTTCCGACATCCTGCCTGCTATCTCCGAAACTCTACCTGCGCTTCCAAAAGAATCCTTGTCATCAAATCGCAATGCACCTGTTGATCTTACAGCCGATAACAGCTCATACGAGACACCCTGGATCTGCCCGATGTGCACGCTCGAAAACCCGTCTACCTTCTTATGTTGTGATGTTTGTGCAGCAGAACGACCGCCTCCGACCAGTGCGCTATCCAAATCTGCCTCTAGCCGAAATTCTACCCACCCGGTGTGTTCAGAGTCACGAAACTCGCAGAAAAGGCCTTTACCTCTTGATCAAAAGGAGGATAAGGAAGCGAATCTCAGGAGTGCATTTGTTTTCAAGAACCGAACCCGTGCACTGGATACCCTCAAAACCTTGGACCGGGGTGCAGATAAGAAGCCTCTTGGATGGGTTTGCATCTCGTGTAGCAGCTTTATGGAAACCCAATGGTGGACATGTTCTTGCTGTGGGACAATGAAGCCGTCCTCTTGATCAAATCTCAAGATGTTTCACCACCACATACCTTAACCAGGGACTTATGACCTTTATGAAATTGATACCAGTATGACAATAGATATTGATTGAATATTGAATATTTTACACATTGTATACAAATTCCGTCTCCACTACCAAGGGGTAGAGTCCAGCCCCATATAAAAAAGCAACACGTGATCTACATGACTAAGAGAGCTCCACCAGGCCAAATTTTCTCACAAAACTCCAAAGCAAACTCTTTCCTCTTCTCCAGCTCCAACCAACACCAAAAAGTCCAGCATGGACCGAAACCAATAAATGAGATTGATCTTTGGTCCATGCTGGAAGAACTCACTAATAGGTATGTGATACTAAACTCCCCTGACAGGACCAGTGAAGAAACAAAAGCATCGCACCAAACAGACTCTATCATGATGAGATTCGCATTAGAACCGGAATATTTAATAGGAAGAGCCGGAAGAGGTATGGCAGGGACTAAATCCCTGTCGTCGATGCTTACAATGGTTCTCCTGAGTAGAGTCTTGGATGCTTGTTGTTTCTTTTCTTGGTTCTGATCTTGGAAAAATCAACGTGTCGTTGCTTGGAGTAAATCGCTAATGATGTCTCTTTTGCAATGCAGATTCTGGATTCTTTTTCGATATTATCGACTGCTTGGATTGTTAGTGTGGGAGAATATAATAGCTAGATCAATTGAATGAATTATTCCATTACTTTGAATTATCTTGATACACTTGGGTTTATGAAAATTCAGTAGACAATTATCCCAGGGAAATGATTCTATTTACTTCGAAATTGAACTATCATACATCCCTTATATTCTCTTTCAACTCCCAAGGATATAAAACTTTTATATGGAACACAGACAGAGAAGACCTCCAAGGTAACAAGGTCGAAAATGATC